AGAACTGGGTATGGATGGAATAGCACAGAGAAAGTCTTCATCTGCTGTGCTGCCTGGAGCTGGGACTGGGAAGAAAAGATATGACCAGCTTGAGCATCTGGAAGGAATTCTGTAGCCTGGCTTTATGTAGCAGTTGCCAAAGTTTACTGAGGCATTTAGCCAAGTATATATGTTTTTACCTGTAGTTGGGCATCCTGCTGATCAGGAGTTTGAAGGCTCCAGAAGCAGAGCGTGACACTATTGGAAAAATTTTGTCATTGACATCCCTCAAGAATTCCTCATTACCCACCTCTGGCCACCCCAGAGATAGGCTAAGTGTTCCTCCTTGGACTGTTAACCTTTCAACCATGCCTTCTGTAGTGTCTTTTCTCCCCTTCAGACACAGTGTCCATCTCAATCTTGAGGTGCACCAGCACCTTCTGTAGAATGATCTTCAGTGTTAGGTGTTGCTCCTTGGTTGCAACAAAGTGGGGACAAAGTGGTAGGAGAGGTGCGGGTGTTGCAGTCCCTCTACTCAGTGGAACTCGGGGAGGAGTGTAGAGCCAGTTATTTGGCCTTTGTGTTCCTACAGAGGTTACAGCACACTCTTCTGCCCTCTGTAGCTGTCTTCTGCAGCTGGGAAGTGTTCAAGGATGGAGCATTCTGAAAGTGGCTCATGTGGGTTAGAGAATAGGTCAGGGTCAAGGCGAAGCCAGGCTTTCAACAGGATAGTCTGGTACTGGGTGGTTATCTCTATGTCAGGATCATCACTGTGCTGAGGAGACATCATTCACCTGTACCTATGGATCTTGGGACAGGCCAGGCATTTGGGTAGGCAGAGATAGGTCAAAATATTTGTGTTAAGTAGCAGGAGAAGAAAGTAGTTGCTGTGATAATGTCAATCCTTCTTTACTTTTTTTATTCTGAATAAAATAGTAGGGAAGGAATGTCCTCCTGGCTCAGTGTGTTACGGGATGTGTACGGGGCAGGAGGGGGGGTGTTTTGTTAGTGTTACAAGTCTGCTCCATGCTCTGCTACTTGCCTGGATGGAGGAATAATGCCAGTTCATGTGGTTCAGAGAATACATAAAGCACTATGAACCTTCATTTCCCTCCCCTTCTCCTTTAGTCCAGTAGTTTGCTTACGTCCCCATTTTTCAGATGAAACACCTTGTTATGAAATCAGTATTTGTTTAGAAATAGGAATGTGATGACACAGAAGCTCTGGGGTGTTTTTTTCCTGTGCTGGGTTTATCACCTAGAACTCATTTCCTGATTGTGAACCAAATACTGAAAGCAGGAATGAAAGCTGGACTTGGCCCATTTTTTTTTTTAACCATGATCAGGTTATCAGTGCCACCTGTGAAGGAGAGGGGTCAAGGAGATTTATGTAGATGTGTCTTTCCAGTCTCCTGAAGTCAGAGGGACAAAACTTCCTTTTTATATTGTTTCAGTGATGAGAAATAAATGACCTAGGCCAGCTTAATAGGAAGATAAGTAACAAACCAATAAGCAAAACTCATTATGTCATAGAGCTTCTTTCACTGGAATCAAATTAATTTTAGGTAATTTTAATGCTGTATTAAAAATAGAGAGTGCTGGTATTATCTTAGAGTAGGAAAGGTGGAGGTGGTGTTGAGGAGAACAGAAATGAGCAAGTTAAACAAAGTTACTATATGAAAAGAACAGAGGTGGAGGAAAGAAGAGACAGTATGGAAACACTGCAGGTGGTGGAACTTGTGTAAAAGAATGCAACCGGAGAATTTGATGTAATGGAAAACTTCCTTTTAATGGATCAGGAGTCTTTAAAAGGCACTTTACCAAAGATAATATCTTTCCTAGGGATTTGTTTTAATTGCTACTTCTGAAAAGAATACTTCATTGAAGAAGCTTAGTGTTAGCTTGGGTTTTTTGACTAGCTTGGGTTTTTTTCCTGCTTGTTATTAGTATCTTCACATGCATTGTCATTTCTTGCTTTCACAAAAAGTTTATACTCAAATTATTTTTACATGTAGCATGCTGTGCATCTCTCCATGCTGATTCCATGCAATGCTACAGGTTTGGAGAAGACTGGCTGCAAAGCTGGCAAAAAAAGACCTGTGGGTGTTGGTCAAAGGCAGCAGACTGTGAGCCAACCTGTGCCGAGGTGGGCAAGAAGGCCAATGACATCCTGGGCTGTATCAGAAATGGTGTGACCAGCAGGACCAGGGCAGTGATTGTCCTGCTTCGGCAGGACAACCAACTACTCAGCAGTGGTGAGGCCACACCTCAGATCCTATGTTCATTTTCAGGCCCCTCATGACAAGAAAGACATTGAGGTGCTGGAGCATGTCCAGAGAAGGGCAACGGAGCTGGGGAAGGGTCTGGAGCACAAGTCTGATGAGGAGCAGCTGAGGGAGCTGAGGGTGTTCAACCTGGAGAAGAAGAGGCTCAGGAGAGACCTTCCTGCTCTCTACAGCTCCCTGAATGGAGGTTGTAGCCAGGTGGGGTTTGGTCTCTTCTCCCTGGTGACAAGTGACAGATGAGCAGAAATGGCCTCAGGTTGCACCAGGGGATGTTTATCATGGATATTAAGAAAAAAATTCTTCACAGAAAAGGTGGTCAGGCATTGGAATAGGCTGCTTAGGGAAATGGTGGAGTCACCATCCCTGACAGTGTTCGTAAAACATGTGGATGTGGCAGTTGTGGACATGGTTTAATGGTGAACCTGGTGGTTGTGCTGTTTTGACAGTTGAACTTGATGATCTCAGAGGTCTTTTCTAACCTTAGTAATTCTATGATTCCAGTATAGAAAAACACATCTTGAAGTTATATCACCTTATATGTGATACTTTACACACTTTATAATTAGCTTTACAGTAAGAATAAATTCTAGGGAAAAAGGTTGGGGTTTTTTTTCACTTGTTTCAAATTAACTGAGCACCAAAATATTTTTACAAATAAATGTAAAATTGCCAAACTTACGTATGGATGGAATTTTCCCCATTAGCTGTTACTGGGGTTTTACTGTCAGCAGGTAAGAAATTCACATCAAGATGAATATCGTGTTCTCAAGACAAAAATTTCATCTGCAGGTTGGGCATTGTTTTTGCTGCATTTTGGTGGAGGGAGGGTGGAAACCAGGTGTGTGGAAGTCAGTTGTCACTCAGGTGGGAGGAGGAAAGGCTCACCCAGGGATGAGATTTCATCTTGTCTAAATGATGAGTGCGCTGTTCCCTCTGGGAGTGCATTGCAGTGACATTGCAATGGCTGATGAGCCCATCCTTACAGCAGTTGTTCTTTTTATAGTAGATTGAAGAATATTTTTAATTAGCTCCCTTATATGGCTGGAATAATTTCCTTGTTCTAAAATATCTGATCTCTTTTTCATAGAAGGGGAATGCCCTTGAAAATCTTTTCAGTTCTGAATTAAATGCGTCAACTGATATTAACAGTTCCAAACTAACCAGGTATAGTAAGTGATAATGGTTGTAGTGTTATTTTATGCACTTTCCTTCGATATTTAAAAGAATTTTCTTTTTGTTTATTTTTCTCATCTTGGATACAGAAAAATAAACAAAATGAAAGTTTAATGTATAGAAGTCAAATAAATTCTTACGTAGTTATGTTTAAATACATTGAGCAACAAATGTAACTTTAGTATTTCTCAGTTTCTTGATATTGGCAAAACATTTATTTGTAGATTCAAACTTTTATGTTAATTATACTATTTTTGATAGAATAAGATCTATTTTTTTAATCTTGGAGGATAGTCAATAAAGATATGAACAACCAGATCCGAACTTGAGTCATGACAAAAATATTTTGTGAGTGACCGTGAAATCTTGCTTCAGGTTGTTAATGTTCTGCAAACTGTTGACAACAATATTAGACAGCATTACCAAATTTTGGAAGAAATTCTAGCGTTAGATAAATCATACAGTTGATTTGTTTTCTGTTTTGCTAGGGTTTCATGAAGAAGAAAATAATGTGGAAGTTTTAAACTTGATGGAAAGAAGTTAGTGCTTTATGTTTAAAGTCTCTTTGAAGGTTTTGTTTTCCTGTAATCTTATTATGAGTAAGAGGTAGCACAAATATTCAGACAAACTAATTTGAAATAAAACTTATCATCATGTGCATTTTTCTAATTTGGACTGTAGGATTTCCCTTAGTGAAATATGTAGTGACAGTTTCTGTGCAACTTAGTGTTTTCTCTGAATTTATTAGCAGTAAACACTACTTTATTAACACTAATCTTCTAAATCTGGAATTGGTATGGAGTTGTCATTTAGTGGATGTTATTAGCTGTGTTTTTATTAAAACCAGTAGTTGTGATTTTCAGGGTTTAAAAAAATACCTGCATGAAAATCCTGTATTTATGTTGCCCAAGTGGATTTAATGTAGGAATCGAAACAATAAAGTGCTGAGAATTAATGGGAAGCAAGAAAGTAACTTCAGAATTGTTTAACTCAGAAGTGGTTTTTTACCTGATGTATCATAATCTTTGTGAGTAAAGGTGTTAAAGATTTAAGTTCTCTAATCCTTGCTTCTTAAACTCAGAAGTATTATTAGAGATAATGTTTAATTTCATTAATTTTCAAATGTTTCTTTAATCTTAGGGGTAAACCCTTCTGTCTTAAAAAGTCTTTTTGGTCAGTAGTCTGCTTTGAATACTTTTCTTTCTGTCCATTCTCCTGCAAGATCAAGTGAGTAGGTTTTACTAAAATATTTATCACTCTGCAGTGATATGTGGCAGCTGACTGAGCATAGTTTTATCTGAAACTGTATGGATTTTTTACTTCTAGTCACAGAAATAATGAACTGTGTGTACCAGGAAAGCCGAAGTAATGAAACTGTTTCTGTGCAGTTTCATTCGAGGAGCTGTGAATCACACACTGACAATGCATCTTTTATTCTTTTCTACTTTCTTGTGCCTGGACTTGTTAACAGAATTTGATACTGATGTTTTTCACGTGTTTGGTGGCTTTATGTAGATGTCACAGAGCTGATCAGATAAGCTTACAGTGCTGCAGAGCCCTCATGGGAACTGCTGCTATGGGAGTGTGAGAGAGCAAATTTCTGAACCGGGAGAGTTCCCAGGGAGTAAAATGCAAGATGAGGCAGTATGTGCAAGTTCCAACTGTTGAGCAAGAAAAAGCCTATGATTATAATTCTGCTTTTGAACCGAGACCGTGTATGTGTTTGGGTAGGTGAAATTACCATTTTCTGATAGCGGGGACTGTATCTTGCTGCTGCTGTGTAGAATAAATGTGTGTCACAAGAACTGCCCATACAGCTGGTAAATGTGGACAGTCTTAACATGGAAGATGCAGATTATAGGACTCCTTCAGCAGAAGAGAACATGCATGTTTTAACTTGGAAAATCCCACTATTGGAAAAGTAAACAATAAGTATTTTTTAATCCTTTCATGTTGACTCTCACATAGCAATGTGAACTTCTGTAGATAATGCTTAAACCTTTATATTTACTGGTATAATGTGATGTAAAGATGTCTGCAAGGGTGAGATGATTAAAATGCAAATTTTGCCTGACACTGAAAAGGAATTGTCATAGGATTTTTCCTTAATAAACCTGCATAAAATGGAACAGGTTCTTTTTACCTGACTTAGTGACTATGTTCTGTAGACCTACAAAACAGCTTATATGTGTGAAACAAACGTGTTTATTTGGATAAATTTTTGTCTGGGTTAAATTGCTATCCAAGATGTAGAGAATCCGTTTTCAATTGCTCAGCTTCTGTACATCTTTGCAACATTCATCTTTCCTGATCTATGTAGAAAAATGTTCCCAGATTTTATGGGTTATTTATAAGTTCAGTCTCTTTTTAATGTATGTTGTTACGACATGATTTTTGTGGGATTGTGTTTTGTTTTCTTTTTATATTCATACATTCTTTAAACCTATTCCTACAATTTTATTAATCTTTCATTGTTATGTCAAAATGATATAACTGAGCAATGGTCAATAGTTTTCCCACAAAATCTGTGTTATGACTGTTAATCATTTTGGTTTTCGCTTTCGTTTTCATTTTTTTCTGTGTTCTTTGGAATGCCTGTCAGTCTTATTTCTGATATTGTTCTGCTTATATTTCTCTACTGAAAATATCTTTGGAGTCTGAAAGCCTTGCTGATTAACTCTCATTTGCTGATACTTGAATGTTCTGTTTAATTTAGGCAGTTCTTTTAGTGAGATTAACATCCATATTACTTTTAGATTTATACTTTGATGACAGAAAATTTTTGACAAGTTTGTGGGTTTTTTCCATGTAAACTGTTCTATAATTAAATACATAACAATGTAAAGACACTACTGAAACTCTAAGATGAGGAGAAGAGAAAATTTTAGATCTTACTCAGTGTACTTACTGCTAGGCCTTTTCTTGTGTCGAAATCTACTATGTACCAGAAATTTGAAGAGCAGTGTTTCAACAATATTGAGTTTCCATTAACTGAAACCACCTGCTAGGGGGGCCAGAATGAGTTGCTACTGTTATCTGATATTTTTTTATCCATCTCAAAGGAGTAACAGTATCCAGGTTTTATGGTAAATTTATGATGGGTTTAAAATGCCATTTTAAGATTTAAATTGTGGTTCTTTGCAAAGATTTTTTTCTTCTATCACTTAGAAAAACTAATTATAAATGTGTTTTTAATTGCCTCTGTCTTGCATGCAATATTTTAAAAGATTTTCCTGTTCTTTTCGTGGTTTAGGTAGTTATATCAAAATATTTTACTACAGTTAGTGTAAGAACGTTTTTCTATACTTAGTAGTCATCTAATGCTGTTTACTCTGGGCCAGAGTTAGAGGTCAACAATAAGGTAGAAAATCAAGTAGGAAGACCAGGTACAGAGAGTGTTGAGCCAGGTGCAGAGTTGCATACCTAACTCAAGAAATATTTAACTATATTAGGTCTTGTTTTGGTGGATTTTGATGGTCTTACTGGAGTTTCCCAATATGGAGTGATAATACTAGACACTAATAAAGTGTTCCTTTCTTATTATGATTTTACTTACTTTTAAAATGTTGCACAGTATTGCTCTCAGTAGAATATTTTTGTAGAACTGTGAATTATTTCAATTTTAAGTCAAGTAGATTTCTAATCTCTTTTAGTACCTGCATTTTCGAGTTGCATATGAAAGAACTTTGATTTTAGCTACTTCTTACCTGCAGCTTTTATGTAAATGTCTATTTTTACATTGGTTAGACCTCGGTGAGTAGGACATGTCAACAGGAGTCATACAAAGAACTTGACAGTGGTAACAAAGCACTATATAACACAAAAATTCTCAATATTCCAGTCATTTATTCCTTAAATGCTTTTTGTTTTCCTAGTTACTAACTGAAGTCGTAAGTCAGTGTTGATCTCACTGGTGGTACCGGATTCTCTAATTCATGAGCTGGGGAGAATTCAAGACCACTGGGGAGAACTTTGAGTAAATGGCTTTAAAATCACAGATCTGTCTTTGATAATAGTTTTTATTTAAATAATTGCAAGCATTAAGTTGTCAGAGTATGAGCAGAATACATTTTTGTCCAAAAGACAAATAGCTTCAATAAACAGGTGGAATAGAGGGAGAATGTCTATTCCTGTAGACACTTGTAATAAAAACAAGTACATCAGGGGGAGTCTTTGTTGTGAATCTCCCAGATATTCTGATAAATATGGTTAAAAACAATTAAGGTTACTTAGATATCTTAAGTAAAAAAATACAGGTCCTAATATATTTGTCTAATGCTTCTTCACAGCCTGAAAAATTTGCAGATAAATTATAATTGTCAAAGTTTCTGCCAGTATACACTTTATCATGTTGCAGTTTTTACTATTTTTAGTAGAGTGTATAATGGTTTTTTGGAATATGGAAATGGATACCTTTAATAAGGTATCTGTAAGGTATTTAGCTACTCTGAATCCTTCAGGAGTTGAGACATGAAAGACCAGAAAGCCGCTGATCTGCATGTACTTGATATATTGTTATTGAGTGTATTATTGTTTATTTAGTGGCTCTTATGCATCAGAACTGCTTTAGTGTTGATCTGAGGCTGGACCAGTGAGTTAGTCTGATAATATGTCCGCTGAAACATTTAAAACCTCATTTTCAAAAATTTCCAAAAAGAGTTGGGAATAAATGTATCCTAATAAAACAGTTGGGCAGATATTTAGGAACTTTTTTTAAATTTTATTTTTGTGCTGAATTTTAACTTAATTCCAAGGTTCTAGTAGCCCTGAGTGCTAGAAAATAAACTCAGTCAATGCTTTGTAGGTTTATCTTTTTAGAACAGGCAGTATGACTTTTAAAATTAATAAAATTGAAGTTACATGTGTTGTTCTGATTATATGAGTGCAGGATTAGTACTCATAGAAGTAGAAATGAAATAAAAAAAATGCCTTTCTCCACTTCCAAGTGCCTGTCTTTTCACTGATGCCCAGTTAAAGGCCAGATAAGGAAGGTAGAGCTTGTTTTGTGTATTATGGCTTACATGGTTTATATGGGTGCTTGTAAAACAGAAGGCTTCATAGTTGATTTCTTTTTTTAGAAGAATGAACATAATGCACATTTTGATGTTTTGAAATAGTCATTCAGAATGAAGATAAAACAGCAACTAAAGTAGCTTTGGTTAATATGACTAAATTTTAAAATGTCTTGATTTTTCTGCGTGTATTTAAGTATGGCTGCATGGCAGGTGCATTTCTAGTACCCAAGTTGCTTCCATATTCTCTCATAGTTTCTGTAGTAGCAGTTCTGCTTATTTGACTTTTTTGTGCTAATTTTCAGTTACATTGATTCTGCCTTATTGCTGAGGGTGACAAGCAGCTGAATTCAGTATATCTTTTTCCTCCATGCTTGTCAGCTTGTCCCTTCAAATGAGTCCCTAAAACTGCATTCTAAATCCCCTTGTGTAATTCCCTCTGCAGGAGTTTGCTGTTGCTGTGCTGCGCTAAGACCTCGCTACAAGCGTCTGGTGGATAACATATTTCCTGAAGATCCAAAAGTGAGTGATGACTTTAAAATTTTAAGGGATTGGTGTTTGGAAATTCTTAGTTATAGCTAATGCTTTAGCAAATTTTTAATTTTATTTTTTCTTTTCTCTTTTAACATTTTACAGTAAATTCTGCTTTAGCTCTTCATAGCTTTAACAGAGGTTAGTAGAATAATTTAGCTGGAAAGGGACGTGTACAGATCATCTTGTCTAATTCCCTTTCCAAAGCGGGGGTCTTCATTGAACAATAAAATTAGTATGTTTTGCCCAGAGAGACAGAGATTTAATTCAACAAGGTATTCTGCTGCAGAGGTAGCACTTAGCTTCATAAGTACGTTGAACCACAAACACTTGCTTTGATATCGTTACACGTGTGAACATTTTCTGGTTTTCTACAGGATTTTTTTTAAATTCTTTACTTACTGACTTCATAGTTCTGGTAAACTGTTGTGACCCAAAAGGTTTTTTTGGTGGTGTCTTTTAAATTCTCCAGTTACTCATGTCCAGTTTTTTCTTTGCATTTCACTGCAACAGTCTTGGAGCTCTATTAAAACTTCACTCTTACACTGTGTGTTATTTATTCTAATAACTTCAGTGTAACCATTTGGTAATGCCTATTTCTTTACATAATCATGTGACAGTTCAGACTGATTAAGAGCTTATGCTTCTGCTACTGTATGTTTTAAAATGTGTTACCAAATTTTTTCATCTTTTATTATAGTTTAAGCAGAACAGTCGGCATTTCTATAATGTTTGGCTTCTGTGTTACAAAGTATGTGGGCTTTTCTTTAAAATATGTTGTTACTGAGTGTTGTTACTGCGTGTTACTGGCTTTAAAGGAAATGTTTTCTGTGTGTACAGTATATTGCATGCACGGAACAATGTGGTTTTGTAGGTTTATTTGTTCTAATCTACTTTATCTGTACAGGTGTAGAAACACCTGGAGTTGCTATAGTTTTAATGTTATGACTTAAATCTCACACAGGAGCTCTGAGTTCTTAGTCTCTGCTTTGGTTAATATTCATCAGTTCATTGCAGGACACAGGCCAGTGCACGATGTTTCACTGAGCTGCAGGCCTTCTCCAAAGTATGAGAAGACTTGTTGATAAAATGCATTAATTTGAAAAATAGAGTGTTTTTATGAACTTCCAGGGAAAAAATAAAAAAAGATAAAAAGACAAAAAAGCCTTATCTTGCTTACCTGATAGTTATAACTTCATCTGAGCACATCCATGTTACAGTTCATGTTGGAACTAATTTGTTAATCTTTTAGCTTTTTCTAACAAATAGCTTTTGGGTACGCTGTAGGTCAGTGTTATTCAAGATGTGATACTGAAGAAATAAGATGTTTAAACTACAATCTAAAAATGTATAAACTACAATCTTGTTTGTATGTACTGTCAAAATTATGCATCAAATAAACTTTTGGGGGGATGGGAAAAGAAAAAAATTACATTATGCCAATAGGGAAGAAGCGTGTCTTAGAACTGGTGACATCTCTCACTAAATACCTTCTTTTAGAATACCCATTCCCTCACCAAAAAGGAGGAAGAAGATAGTTGCTTCATTTCCTTAAAAAATATTTTACGTAATTTTTTTAAGTTGCTGATTTTTGCAGCTGAGCTAACAGCGGTTTTGCTCAAAAGACTGGGGGTTTTTTTGGTAGCTTATTCCTATCAATAAGGCTCGAATCTTTAACTCTTGAGTAGACAAAAGGAAAAACACTTCAAAGGCTTCATGCTTTCTGTGAACCTTTTCTATTTTATAATTTGTATTTCTGCTTTTAGGATGGTCTTGTGAAAGCTGACATGGAGAAGTTGACTTTCTATGCAGTTTCTGCACCAGAAAAGCTGGATCGAATTGGGGCTTACCTGGCAGAGAGACTGAGCAGGGATGTTGTCAGACACCGCTATGGGTGAGCAGAGAGGTCACAGCATTGAAAAGAGATGCTTATATGTCGTGGGATTTCGTCATGTTTGTTCTGATCAAGTCTGGGAGGCAAGACAGACCCAGTCCCTCTGTGGTCAGTTAACCTTGTCAGGCTGGCAGGTGCCTACCCAGCTGTACTCACTCCTCCTACTCAGCCAGACAGGGGAGAAAATAAAATGCAAAGCTCATGAGTCAGGTCCTGTCAGAAAAGCTGCTCCTGTGTGGGCCCCTCACCATGGACTCTACCAGGAGCCTGTTCCAGCACGGCCTTTCCATGGGCAGCAGCACGGCCTTTCCATGTGTTCTTTCAGGACACATCCAGCTGCTCCAGCATGGGGTCCTCCATGGTCTGCAGCATGGATATCTGCTTAGTCTGGGCACTACCAGTGTCCCTGAGGGACTCAGTTTTGGGAACTGGTGGGTCCATCTTGGAGCTTGGCTGGAGCTCTGTCTGACATGGTGGGCAACTCCTGGTGTCTTCTCACAGAAACCACCCCTGCAGCCCCTCACTGCCAAAACCTTGCCTTGTAAGCCCAGTACACCCTTGAATGTAAGTCAGGATATAGGGAAGCAGGAATATATATATTTTTTCAGCCCTTTTGGCTGAATCATGTTTAAGTTGAGTCAAAGAAATGTCAGGAGTTGGAAAAGAAGGGCAACATCCATCACAGACCATCATTTTTTGGCCTTCGTGATGTCCTAAACTATTTTTATAGCTTTATAGAAAGCATAAATGGCCAACACTCAATTCCTCACTTCCCATCCCCAAAAAGAAAAAATACAGATGTCAGAAATAGCACTGTTTCATTTTTATACAGTGGGAAGTACATGCGTTCCATACTTTCCTAATTTTTGTGGTAATAGGGACCTAAGTAAGGAACTAATGGAGTTAATGATAAATGCAGTATGTCTTTATGCAAGTCTCTCTAATTAATTTTCAGTTATGTTTTAATTGCCATGGAGGCATTGGACCAACTTCTGATGGCTTGTCATTCTCAAAGCATAAAACCATTTGTGGAAAGCTTCCTTCATATGGTGGCCAAGCTTCTGGAATCAGGCGAACCAAAGCTGCAAGTCCTTGGAACTAATTCTGTGAGTAAGCTCAGACACTAAATCAAATCAGAGTAAACCTTTACATGGGAAAGTAGTTTCAGAAGTCACAAAGTGTCTGCCAGTTCACATGAATTTAGAAGATTCTATCTGTGACAGGGTGTACCACTTGGGCCTAAACACAGAGCAAATAGCAGCTGGAGGCAGAAAAACTGTCTCCTTTCAATGTCTCAAATGCTTTTGATGTCTGGGCTCATTCCCTGCAGAAGTGACTTCTGGAAGGAACAAGAATGCTGTTCTGGGAGTTCATATTTTGAATCTTTAAGCAGCCCTCCTGGAACCAGTGTATAGGTGAGACAGTGTTTGGCTCTCCAGGAACAAGAGTGATGGTGTGAGGAGAACATAACATCCTTCTCCCCAGCATTGACACTACGTAGAAAGATTCCTGTTAACTGAAAAGTACCTTTCAGAATCAACACCTCACCATCTTATTGGCTTAAATATTTTAGGATTCAAATCCCTGCTTGAAGGGCATAACTAAAAGTGTCAAAATGAAGATTTGGAGATCCAGTTTTCCAAATCGAGTGATGGGTGCAATCAGCATTACAGTTCTGTCATACTTCCCTTCTAACCATTGTATTTCCCAGATGGTAAAATAGGAACTTTATAAGTTCCAGGATTGTGATATGTAATGTTTTCACTTAGAGTGATTGTTTTTATATGAGTATAGAGTAGTGCTTGCATGGGGTTCTTTATGGATTCAGTAAAACTTTTGGGCTTTTCTTTGGGATTGATTGCCAGTTGGGAGTTGCAGTTCAGGGAGATAGGAGGGTGTAGTAAAGTGATACTGCTCTGGAGTAGAATTTCTTGATATCACAGAATGCAGAATTTTGGTATGATGTAGGCTAGAAGTGTCCCCTTGTGCTCCGAACTAACAGGGCAGTTTTACTGAGGGTAATGAGATATACATCTCATTAAACATGCAAAATGTTATTTATCTTCAAGCCAGGCTACCCTTCTTCTTTTGATTTGTTTGTGTAATAATGCCTCGGTGAGGCCTCTTAGGGAAATAGCTTTGGAACTTATTTCCCAGGCTGCCAAATGGCAAGATGTACATCACTTGCCATTGGTTTGAAGTCCCTGGTGGCAAACAGTTACTGCCAACCTCCACTTGGGTGTACAAGACGCGTGTCACTTCGAAAGGCATGTTCTTGTACAGAACTCCACCCTAGGGTAATCTGTTTGATATTCCTGTCACTTCCTAAGGGAGTCTTTTATGAGCAAAGGAGATTAATGGACTTCCTGAATTAGGAGATAATTTGTGTTTGTCTTTTGTAAAACTCAGAAACAGAAAATAATTAAGTTTTCCTAAATAAAATGTGAATTTCTGTGAGGAAAGTTAATCTTTATAGCTCTTCAACAGTATTCCAAAAACTAATTTTAGCCTAACTCTGCTAATTTCCCTAGGTGCCTTCTGTAGTTAATGAAGACAAAAGGTAGAGTCTTTTTGTATTGACTCAAGAGGAGCAAAGTGTATTGGCACTGACAGCTTGTCTGTTACCAAGGACACTGACCTACTGGATTTTTAAATAAATTTTATTAGAGATGTAGAAAGTTTGCAATCAAATTCGGCTTTTTTTCTCTCCTTCAGAAGGAAATAAACAAACAAATTAAAAAAAACCCCAACAGTAATAGATGGTAGAGTGACTGAATAAATGTTTCATGTGCTTTAGATATTCTGATTTACTACTTTGGAGTGGAAACTGCTGTTGACTAGAAGAGAAGACTGAATTGTATGTGAAGTAAATGTCTTTAAATTGGTGAAAAGTCAGGCAACTTTTGGAAAACTTTTCATAATATTTTTAGTTTAAACTCAGTTTTAGGCCCCTACAAATTTGTAGTCTGCTTGCAGATAAAAAGATATTGTGGCTATAAGTAGATCTTGATTATGTTCATCCCAAAGCTTCACTGGGATGCAAAGACAGTTATGTCTTTGAAGTAAGATTGAAATCTCATTACTTGAGCTGTAGGGTTTTTCAACATCACAAGCAGATTTTGCTTCAACTGTCAGGACTCTTGTGAAGTCAGGGTTTCAAATTAAACAAATCTGTGTACTGGGTGTCTCTCAGTAGTTTAAAGGCTTGGAAAGATCTGGATGCTCCAACTGTCTTCTAAAAGTATTTTACTGACTTCAAAATATCTGGTTTTGGATGCAGAACTTATTCTATTCGCTGCTTTATGTCTTAGAAAAAAATTCAAACTTTCACTCAGTTTTTTGTCTTCTTATTGTTTTTGAAATTTAAATTTCATTTTTTAAGTTGATTCACTTATAAAAAGTAAACCTGAAGATTACCATTTTAGATATATAATTGTTTGGGTTTTATGTATGTATTTTTAAGCCTGATCTTCAGGTTACGTGTAGTTAATTCCCGTGACTTTTTATGTGTTGCATATGTAAGTTTTGCTAGCTTATTTCCTGCAGCAGCAATGATTTTTTTTTTTTTTTTTTTGGTAACATAATTGTAAATCTATTTATATAGGCAGATACGTGAAAACAGGTGAAATTCAATAGTGGGTATGTTGAATAGTTGTTGGAGGTTTTTTTATTTGGACCAGATTTTGAATTGACAGTGTCTGTGAGGTTCAAAATGGCTTTTTCTGTCATGGAAGATATTTTTATTAACCATGTGCTACGATAGCATATGCTGGTGAAGAAACTGAAAATACGTGGTGGGAAGAAGTGATATTTCTTTGGCTTAAGTGTTACAGGATCTGAAGACTGTTTGCAACAAGCTTTTCCTTAGAAATTTACAGCAATACTAAATTTCTCTCTTTATTTTCCTGCGGAATTTTAGTAACTGAGTATTATGTAAAACATGTCCATCTCTCATGTACATGTCATTAGATGTATTGATTAGGTCCATAGTGTTATATTACTAGGATAGAAGTGAAAAGCTTTGAAGTCTTTGAACTTGTGGTCAAAATTGTTGGGGACAATTATCTAGATCCAATTCATATCTATTTTTAATTTTAGGACAATTTTTTTAAAGAAGAGGTAGAAAATTTCTTTAGTGAGCACCTGGTCAAAACCAATGGGATATGTAATTTAGTAAAAATTTCATCTTAACCATATTGACAAAACTCAGTTGAATATGAAACATTTTAAGCTAATTTGGAATTCTGGTGGGGTGAATTATTTGTATTTTGACAGTAAAATACTGGGGTTTTGTCTGAAAAACAGCAGATATATTTTAGATTATTTATCATAAATGCTTTCTTTAGTTGATAAGGTGCTTCATTTTATGAGGGCTGTTTCTTTTTAGGAGCAGTGAAATAATGATCTCATAAGAGACAGTGCTGAGCTTCCTGTGCACAAGGAGGTGACTGTTATTGCTGGTTGTTATCATTTGTTATTTAATGGAAGACAAGCAGTTTTCCTCCCCCTCGTACATGTGCTCTGTGGTTTTGCTGTTCTGTAGCCCCACTAACGTGGCCCTGGGAGCCAGCATACCATTGCTGACTTTGTTATACATCTCTACACGTGGTGTTCAGGATAATTTTCATCCAAGTGACACAGAGTAAAACAGAATGTGAAATTGTCCATCCCATTCTGATAAAACTGAAAGTGAGTGTCAGGTGACCTTAACAATTAACAACTAAACTAAATCACTGATTTCTATTGCTGAGAACCTTGTCTTGGGATTATTTACTGTGACAATTTTAATACTGGGTTCGTGAAGTTAATGTGTGAATCCAGTGTTTTAATCTTTTCTATTTAGGAAAGTTGAAGTGCTTGTCCTCTGGCATTTGTTTGGTGAAGTGCATACATACATTCACACTTACTATGAAGCCTGTAGTGTGTGGTTTGTAAGAATCTTATATTTATAAGGTATCAAGTCTTCCAATGTAGTAGTTTCATAATAACAATGTACTTGGTCTATAAAATACATTGGTCCATAAAAGGTGATACCTGTAAGTACCTCTTTCCCCATTTGAAGCAAGGGAAAATTCCAGGCTGTAGAAGGCAGACTAGGGAGCTCAAATATGAAAAAAATACTGCTCAGATCCAGCCTACTGTTCTTACAGGGGGATACTTTAAATAACATAACTCAAACTCAAATATGATGTGTGAAAAAACCTGATTCTTCGTGAAAAAACCTGACCTTCTTTAAAGACATCCAGGAACCACTAAAAGTTACTATTTTTCTCCTAATGTACTCTCTGCATTAACAGTGATAAAACAGCATTAATACATGGAAGAAATTACGTCCTTAGGAATTAGCTTGAGAACTTGCATGATTTACTTGCAAGACTTGTACAATCTCTCTCTCCCTGGTTATACGATCCAACTTTCTTGACTCAGGCTGGAACAAACATCTTCTGAAGAGATAATATGTTTCTTCTTTACTTTGTGATAGATTTATATATTTTTATATTTGCTGAAATTTTTTGGTTTCAAAATTAACGTAAATAAGATACTACCAATGTAAGTTCCTTTCTGTACCTTCTGTATTATGAAATATAGAAGATGCTTGTAGTGGTAAAACTTCCATAAGTTGCCATTGGGTGCTTGCAAGCATTTACTATGACTGAATGACATATTTACATCTATGTCATGGTTTGAGATACCCCAAAAGCTAATTCCCTAGCTCCATCCCCCCTCCCACATCTCAACCTAATGTGGGATGATTCTTTCCAGACAAAACACACCAGACTCAAAGTGGGGGGAAAGGGAATATATTACAATGACTGTACAAATAAATACTATAATACATTATATACAACCTTAGCTATCTCTACCATGACATAAGTATTTACAATGGATCAGATCTCTTCTCCCCTCCAAATAAAAGTCCAGGAGAGAAGAAGGACAGATCCCTTCCAGTCTCTAAGCAGGAGTATCTTCTACAGCAGCAATCTGTATTCTTCACATGTAGCAGCTGATAGCTGGACTTCTACCAGCACTCAGGAGGGGGGTATCCCCCTCGGCCCCGTCGTCTCCAAACAAGGGGTCTTCCGTGGGCTACATCACCCCAGACAAAGGTCGTTCCACCACAATCATATCACGAGCCCAGGGGGGTCTTCGTGACAGTCTGGTATCTTCAGGGGACTCAGCCCCTTGCAGAGCTTCTGTGCCCTGCCTCAGGCTGCCACCTTGGCAGCAGTGGTCCTCTCGGAGCTCTCTAGCTCCTTTCTGCAAGTACTGTAGCATTCCAAGGCTCCTCTCCTTAATAGGAGTCCATCTGCCTCCTTTCTCGGAGGTCTCAAAGGGTTTTTGGGGGGTCTGGTTCAGTTCTTACCCCAAAAACTCTGTCTCTCTGCTGCCGGCTCTCTGTCTCGGCTCAAGCAACTCTGAGTCTTCCTCGGCTGCATGCTGTTTGCTGTTCCTTCAGTTATCTCTTGGCTCTCAGCCATAACCACTGGACAGCTGCCGCCGCTTCTGCTCTGTCTCTGCTCACTCACGGTGGAAAAACATCCCCCAGCTCACAGCTACAGACACATAGTTCAGCTTAACACTGTTCCAAATCTCTGTAGCCCCCCACTGGGGCTGGGGGGGGCAGAGGCCCCCCAGAGGGCTCTTGCCCTCTCCTCATGGCTGTCAGAACATGGCTACCACTTCTACCAACCCCAAAACTACAACCCTTCTCTTCCGTTTGGTTGTGATATGTTTATATTTTGCAGAAGCACTCACTGGACAAAACTTCAAAAGTTACCACCCCCTGGGTAACTTTCAACTCCAGGGGGAAAATCTGGTTCCAAACTACTACAATCTATAAAAGCTTTGTAAGTAAATCCGAGGCAAGTGCTTGGACTTTCTTAAGAATTTTATCCTTTTTTAGGTGGAATATTTTTTATATTTGAAGTACAGTTGAATATATGTGCTTAGGAGTAAAATGTTCTTTGTTTAACAAGAGTAACAACTTCAGAGCAGCACTGCAAAGCAAAGAGAAAGTATAGATTAATGTGTGCTGTAAAAACTTAAAATTTCTGTGATGAAATGGAATTTTATACTTAACTAGATGACAGTGCACAATTTAAAACTGTTATTGCAGTCAGCTTTCCTGTGTCCTAAATGTTCAGTCATCTGAATTATAATCCTGGAACGTGCTTCAGAAATGCTGCGTGTTCAGTGAGTGAAATTGTTTTGTTATAGACACGAGGACATAAAAAGACTTTGTCCCTTCTGGACATTTTCCTGTGCATGCCATTTAAAGAGATGTAACTTCGTGGTCTTTGCTTCCCGGCTCTAAAGCTGCACCACTATGTAGGAGAAGGGAGTTCCTGACACTTTCTTGGGCTCAATTCATCTTTTATTCTTAAAAAGCGATTTTGTGGTAGCAAAAATCAGCTTTTTTTTTTGTTGTTTCTGCAAGCGAAACAGTTCTTAGAGTTTAAGTTTTCATGTTGGCAGAGCCTGTCAATCAAATAATTTTATATTTAAGTAATATTAAATGAAATGTTGATATTAAATTCTACATGAGTTAATATTTCTGTTCTCACAGCCATTCTCATAGTACTCTGTGTTCTTCAGACTTTTTGTTTCCATTCTTTTACCTGCTTTTATGGAAGTTTGCTGGGTGAATCAGTTGCAGACTTGAACACTTGAATGTCTAAGACAATATGATACTAAGATCATACTAAGATCATCAATATGATACTAAGATCATATTGTCTGGGATTTTTGATAATAGTTGGTCTTTACACCTTATTAAGTTGTAAGAACTAAAGAAATTCTTGTCTTCAAAAAGAATTTGAAAAATATATCTCTGTTTTGATATCAACAATTCCATGAAACAAAACAGGGAGACATAAGACATATAAAGCATTTTCCAGGGTCATTTGCAAAGGAAACACTTGTTTTCATTATTTATTGTATCGAAGAAAACTTATGGGTGCTGTTTGAGGATTATTTTTCAGTGTGTGGCAGTCCATACAGAATTGAATTTTGACTTTTTGACTTCTGTCACTTTCTTACCACGTGAAATACAGGATATTCCTAACAGAATGAATTATAAAATGGATTCGTATTATACAATTTTGCTCCATTTTCAGTAATAGCTGAGAATGTACTTTGACAAACTGTATCATTTTCAACTACCCCTGTAGCTTTTAGTGGGTAGTGCAGCTGAAAGTGTTCTAGATAAAACAGAAAAAGACTAAACAAAAGAGTAGAAAAATGATTGGGTTTTTTTCATTCACTTCCACTTGAAAATCTCAAAACTTCCCCAAATCAGTGTGCTGGAGATAATGCTACAGTGCTTTGGGCTTGTCTAGATGTAGATGGGTAATGTACTGATAAAAGCAGGTTCTGCATCATGGAAAGTATAAAAGAAATGCCTCAGCTTGTGCTTAGGAATTGGTAAGAATGACACTGGAGTGGGTAAAAGCAGAGGGTTCAGTTCTCACTGGGACATCACTCTGCTGCAGGGCAGAACCTGCACTATGTTCAACCTTTCCTGATGACATTTTGTTTTCCTTTTTCCTTCTGTCTGTAGTCTGTTCTTAGAACTGTCAGTGGTGGAGAATCCAAAAAGTCTTTAGGCAGTCTGCTCACTTTAGAAAGGAGGGTTTTTAATGTCTAACTTAGATAGGCTTTGCTTCAGTGTAAGCCCATTATTGCTTTTCCTATTACCATTGGACAAAGAAAACCATTTATTTCTTTTCTTTTTTATAACTTTCTTCTGTACATTGTCAGACTGATATCTTTTAAGCAGCTCTAGACTAGATAATTTAATGTCTTTCAGTCTGTTCTAACAGATGTTTATCTAAAGCTTTGTTCATCCCTTCAATAATTGAAGGACTGTATCAGTTAATCACCATCTTCAGTGCTGATGTTTCAGCTGAATGCAGCATTTCATCTAAGGGCTTACTAGGCCCAATTAGATGGCAAAAGTTTCTTCATAGGTGTCATGAGCAATACAGATGTATCACAATATATTGGTTTGTTTTTCATGCCATTATTACAGCGTTGACCAAGTTCCTTTTGTGCATTCTACTGTTTCTGGCTTGTATTTGTACAACTGTTTTAAAGTGCTGGTTTGCAACCTCCTTCCATTTTCAGGTCCTGTGTCCAGTTTGTCAGGAACCAGGCATCAAGTGTACCTTCAAGTCTGACCAGCTTAGTGTTTTTTGCAAATTTGGTGAGCCCACTCTGCCATCTAAGTCTCTAGCGAAGCTCAAATTCTTCTGTATTCCAGACAGGCCCCTCCAGAAGTTCACTCAATACTTTGTACTTTCCTGATTTACAAGAGTTTCCAGGGGTTTTTTTCCAAATTCCTTTCCATCTGCTTTATGGGGAGTGTTCTTTTGACGGTGTTTTTCTAGCTTCCCTTTGAGAATTTTGTGTATTTTTTTGTCAATAGCATCACTGAAATTAAGACGGATGCTACTTCATCTGGATTCACAAAACTTACTTTCTTGTCATAGGAATAAGATGAATTGATGTGATTTGTTCTTGACAAATCTGTGTTGACTGTTGCTTACCCCTTCGATACTTGGTAGATGTTTGCAAATTGGCTTTTTTTTTTTAAGTGTCTCTCTGTGAATGGAATTAAAGTTGACTGGCTTGTAATTCCCAGACTCCTTTTTCATTTTTTGCCAAGATAGAATTGACAGTATGGCTCCAAGTTTATTTCCCTTGGACTTTGGTAAGTCAGAATGTAGGTAACCTGGTAGTGTCAGTGGACCATTTGATTACTTGGACTGCTCTCTACAAGCACCTGAGAGAAGGGTGTAGCTGGGTGGGGGTCAGTCTCTTCTTTCAAATTTCAAGAGATAGGAAAAGAGGAAATGGCTTCAAGTTGTGCCAGGGAAGGTTTAGGTTGGATATTAGGGAAAATTTCTTCACTGAAATAGTTATCAAGCATTGAACCAGGCTTTCCAAGGAAGTGGTTGAGTCACCATGGAGTTATTTAAACATGTGGTTTACTGGTGGACTTGTGTTAGGTAAATGGTTGACCCTGATGATCCTAAGGGTCTTTTCCAGCCTTAATGATTCTACCAATTGACGACACTCAGTGTTGAAGTGTTAGATGTTTCCATATTGCATAGTATGTTGTATTTCATGTAGTTGCACCCTTTCATCATTATCTAAATGAAGTTCTAGTGGAAAGACTTTAAAAAGAAAATTCTCTAATTCAGATTTTTCTTCTCTGAAGTTTTAAAGTGTTGTCAAATCTAGATTCGTACATTCATACAGATGGTTTATGTTGCTTCTTAAATGAAGCTTAGTACTCATTGTTCTATTTGGGGAAATTGATGCTAAAAACTTTTTAAAATGTATTTCTTTTTCCAGTTTGTCAAATTTGCCAACATTGAGGAAGACACACCTTCCTATCACAGACGCTACGACTTCTTTGTGTCTCGGTTCAGTGCCATGTGTCATTCATGTTACCCTGATCCAGAAATACAAACTGAGTAAGTGCCATTCTGTATAAGTTACAGAAAACTACCTTGACACATTAATATTGTGTGTAATACAGCTTTTATTAGGGTATTTAGTGGAGTAGTTCACAGGAAGAAAATGAAAGTCTGACTTTTTAAATAGCACCAAATATTGCAAATCTTAGGTAGCTGGCATTCCTAGGATATTTAAGTGTAATTTTGCCTGACTAGTGCCTCTCAGTCTGTGTGGGTTCTCCCCAGAAAGGCACCACTTATTACTGTAAATATGTGAGTTCATAACTTACTTGAGAAATAACTGGACTACTTATATGAACAGCAAAAGCATATTTGGAGATTGCTATTTGAGAATTACGCATTAAAATTGGATTGTCTTAGATGTCTGAAGTATGCTCACGTGTGTGAAACTGAAGCACCTGTATGGATGAGAATTCCAAATTTTTCCATTCTTACGTAAACACCGCAGTTTGTTTTCCTGTGGCTCCCCCTGGTGGATGTGTCCGTCACAGGAATCGGTAATCGGTGTTTAACTCCTGAGCATTTTGGAAAACATAAGGCTTTTTAGTTTATATTATTTACATCTCCGTTGTAGTAGTTTTTTCTGTTTCCGTGCCTTAAACTGTTTATCCAGCTATGACAAGTCCGTGTGCTGAGCATTTATTCCACCCTTCAGGTGTACTGTTGTTGCATTAGCTGCAGTGCACAAGGATTTTTCTGAAAATTTGCAGCTTCAGAAATCTGTGAACTGTATTTTCAAAATGAATGAATACTGTGTACATTGATTAGGAGGAAGAAACCCCAAACATAAACCCCAAAAATAATTCTTCCTTATATTTAGTTATTTGCTGCCATTTTATTTGTTACCCTACTGCTGTGCATAGGGTTCTGCTGTAAACTCTAAAAGGGTCAGGATTAAATCTACCTGCTTTGCCTGTACCATTACCCTTGCCCCCACCAGCTTTCCCTTTAGGAAGATTATCCCAGTGAATGGGTTTACACCATCCGTTTTTAAGGACTTGTACTCAGGGACCAAAGGGCAAATGGGATAGAAACTTCTTAAAGAGGTGTCACCAGTGAAGCTGGTATATCATGCAGTTACCTCATAACTTAGGCTTCAGTCAGGTACAGTGTATTTACTTAAAGCTGATGCTTGCAAATAGTATTCATAAAGGTTTCAATGAGCTTTTGGATATTTTATATTTTTAGGTCTAGTGAAACTAAACCTGAAATGTTCAACTACTTACTGACCGTAAAACGTTTCATAAGAGGTTCAGACATGAAGCTCAGCTCAGGATTTTCAGCATTACTTTCACCTCCATTACCCCTTGCAAATGAGAGCTAATATTAGTAATGAACTGGAATATGGAATAAGTTAAGTGACTAGGACATCCCTGATTCATATATCAAGTATGATCTACCTGTCACAATGGTACCTCAGAGTAAAATGCCTCAAAACTGCGATTGCTCTAGGAGTAAGAGAACTGGGCTAACCTTTTGCTCTCCAGATTGGCAGCCTGCACTGTTATCTGTGCTTCAGTTTGCCGTGTTGATGTACCCTTAGACAGGGAGGAATTTCATCTGAGTGACATAATATTATACATGACCTTAAATTAAATGTAATCTTGGCTTTACTCCCTGTCTGAGCCTTGTTTAGCGAAATGAAACCTTTCCTGTGCGATGAGATTTGATGCTGCACTTTCCTCACTACTTCAGCACACACTTTTCATCCTTTTGTGCAATAGTAAGAACATGGAATTAGTGCTACTGGCGCTCCAGTACACAAAAGTATGGCCTTTTTCCAACGTGTGAATTTTTTTTTTACTGAGGGTGACCAAATGTATAGCAATATGGCTTTTTCCACATCATCCTAGACAGTTTAAATGTATCTCTTTCAAAAGAGAACTTTGTGAGCAGCAGTCATTCTTGGAGTTGGCACTGCAGGTTTGTTGGTTCTGAGATAATTCAACAATCAGCTGTGACTGCAGAGGACATTTCTTAAATGCAGGTGTCACAACCAGTCAATACCATTGAAGGGGGACAGGGTAATTCATCTGATCCTAAATCAGACATCTGCAGGTGCTGTTCACCTGCATAACTTGAGGTTCCACTGAACTGAGTGGCTTGAGTGGGAGCTTGAACCTCACCTACACATGTGGTTGTTGTCAGGTAAAGTGGGCTTCTGAGCCTGAACTGGAATCTCACCAGTAAGTGAGATTTCCCTTTTGTCAGGGGAGGTCAGTGCTAGTATTTAATGTATCTAAAGCCACAGTATCAGCAAATCTTGATTACCTTAAGATCTAATAATTAGAAAAAAGTTTCAGTGGTAGATTTCTGAAGGTTCTGGGTCTTAAATGTCAATCTTAGGTCATTAATATTGAAAACTCAACATTTGATACTGCACTGTAGTTGTAGTACAGCAATATCAATTGCTTTTCTATCTGTTTACGCATCCTTTTTCTTACCTGCTTTGCATATAATCCTATTAAAACTATCTCAAAAGGTCTAGAATGGCATCAGATCCATATTCAATGTACATGGTTTTGTTCAGAAATAGCTAAAATATAGGAGGCTACAGATTAAAGTATTTACAAATTGAAATCAAAACAAAATATTAATTATACAGTTTGGTTACCTCTGTATTTCATCTTACAAATGTTTTAATTCAGTGAATTTGACTGAGCAAGGGCTAGTTGTGTGTTGTCCATACTGAAATCAAGATCTAAAAAATGAGGTACAGATTTTGATAGAAATAATTTCAAATTTTAATGAAGCTTGTGCTTATTTCACCTGGCAGCTGTACTACCCTCAAGAAGTACAATTTTCTTTCTACCATTTATTATGATGGCTAATACGTTATTACCATTTCAAAAAAGAGTGTTTTGCTACTCATTTCATTGCACAGATTTTCCTGCAAGCTATTTTTGTTTAACAAAATAATGAAAACAGCTGGAAGTTAGACCAAGGCCTTTATTGAAATTATGTTTTTCTTTATATTATTTCATTGTTGTTAATTAGTTCTCAGTTGGTTTCATTCAGATAGTTTTAGGATAAAAGTGGTGATTCCTTTTATACATTGGGCTTAAGCTGACAGAATCATTCTTTACTCTCCATCTATTGAAGCCTTAAGAAATCTGAAGAGATCTTTTCTGATTAATCTGTAGCCTTAATTTCAAATTTTAAGGACTTGTTCCCATGGCCAGGTGTTACTGCAGTGGTGCTGTGGTCACTTCACAGCGTTTTTCTTCAGCACTGGAATAGGTTGAAATTGTGCAAAATTTTGACTGACGAGGAGTACAGTGGGGAAGAGTTCATGGGTTTTTCCCACATGACGTTTGTCAGAGGTGGTATAAACACTTTGAGTCTTCATTGACCAGTGTCAGCTCCATCCTGACAGGTCGTCTTCTGTTTAGTTGTTTGTTTTGTCAGGTTCCTTATGGGCTTTAAAAGGGTTTGGAGAAAATATGGGCAACCTTAATGAATTGGCCAATTTTCCCGATTGCTGCTTGTGAGAACGTACTGGAATTCCACACTACGTAATTACTGTTGCCCAGTAGGTAAGGAGCTATACTAGGAGGTGCTGTGTTTCTTGTTCTCTGTAATTCCTTTTTTTCCTTCCTTAGGATCCGAATTGCTGGAATCAGGGGCATTCAGGGAGTGGTTCGAAAAACAGTTAACGATGAACTTCGAGCAACTATATGGGAACCTCAGCACATGGACAAGATCGTCCCATCACTGCTGTTCAACATGCAGAAAATAGAAGATATTGACAGGTAATTTTGTTCCTTATCGCTGGCATGTTTTTTTAAGCAGTATCTAGGCTTAGGTTTTGTGATGGATATCTTTTTCTTTTATTTTTAGTGGAAACAACAACTAAACTTTACTAGCTGAGGCTGGTTGAAACTGATAGCACAGCTCTGCATAACGACTCAATGTTTCTTGTCTCAAAGTAGTGTCCACCTCTTTTTCTTCACTTGTTCTAGCTTCTATTGGCCTAAAAGTTGCTCCAGAAATTGTATATCCATGTTTTGACTTGATACAAATTGTAAAATAGTGTTTTATAGTATCAGGTGCAGAGATAACTATGTGCAGGCTTTTAGGTGACTCAAATGACTTTGCTACTTACATTTGTCAAAAATTGAAGGTTTAATTCCCATTAACCATTAGCAGCAACTGTCTGTCCTGGCTGCAGCAGTTCATAAAGTAAGGATTTAAAGTTTATTTATATAAACTCTTTTTTTGCTTTCAATGACTCCTAGGCATAGTACCTGCCAGGTATGCAAAAAGATCTTCAAAAAGGTATCTGTGATTATTAAAGTTGAGGAGATGTCAGTCACTTTACAATTGAAAAGTCTGTATTTGTGGTTAAATACTCTGTAGGTGTAAAAACTCTGTAGCACTGGGAAATTTCCATAAAACCAACTTCAGCTGTGCAGGCAAGCTTAAATATTCATTCCATGTCCAACCCTTGCTGCTTCAAAACTTGCTTGACAGGAGACTCAACAGCCTTTCTATAACAACAGACTTTTCATGCTTTCACTGAGCTTTCTGTCAGGTTTCATTTTTTTGGTTTGAGTTTTGGTGGCATTTATTTTTCCATTCCTCAGCCTTATTTTTCTTCTCTTATTTCTAAGTCCCAGTATCTGTCTCTTCTCTAAAGCAAATTTTCAGGCTAAATGACTAAAATCAATAGTTGTCTGTCTGTTCAGTTATATCTGTGCATATAACTGAGGGCCCAGACAATATGTACTGAGATGGCTACTTGAATTTTACATCTGAAGAGTGATTTGAGTAAGAGACTAAGGTTTCTGAAGCTGCTGTTTGAACAAGGAGAATCTGGTTTGCCTTTGCTTGCTCTTAGAGGGCTCCTGGCTGCAGGTGGGCCCTTTCCTATGTTACTCTTTACAGAGCCCTCAGGTGTGCACTTCCCTTTATATAGCAAAATAAATTAACTACTGATAGAAAGCTGAATGAAGTAGGATTTGGATTAACCACTTAGAGCAGATCAGTTTATATGTCCTGCAGGACTGATTTTTATCATCTGTTGAGCAATGCAATAGTGGTGATAGAAAAACAAATCTGTCAAAAAGTAACTGTTACTTACATATCTGAACTGTTTCTTTGAATCTTGTTCTATAACACACATAGAACAGAAAAAAAAAGACTAGTGATTTTCTGAGTGGTGAGTAGGGCCTTGTATGATGTGCATATGACAGAAAAGCTGAAAACTGTATTTATAAATTGTTGATCTGCTGACCCTAAGTGGTGTTACACAGAATTTCTCATTTTATGAGTGACTTCATAGTTGTGGAGCACAAACAGAGACATCTTGAAGGGTAGGAGTAGGAGGCACATTGTTCTGGCAGATGGAATCAAAGCATTATTTGAGAAAGAGCAGAAATTCCAGAAAATACCCCCAACTTAGGTCCATGGAAAAGAATGATTTTTGGTTAAAGCTGAACTATGTGTAAGGTAAAGCTTACTTTAAAGGTCAGTGTAATTTTAATTTGTGGAACTGTAATAACTTAATTGAAGATTCTTCTGAGTACCTGTCAGAAGAGACACTTCTTGGAGTTAAGAATTTACTATTTAAACAACATTTTAAGAAGGTAATTGTATTCTTGGATGCCGTTATTTGTTCGTATGTCTGAATGCACAGTCTAGTTATGTGTCTATCAGACATAACGTGACTCGTATGTCTATGTGCATCTCTAAAATGGGGAAGGGATGTATGAAATTGGTAATTCACTGGCTAAACATGCCAGCCTTGTTTCAGGCAGAAGGACACTCTAGCACTTATAAACTTGACTTTGAATCCTTCTAATATATCTATAATGTTCATACAAATTCTGGTTTAGTGGTAGGTTAGAATGTATTTTTTTCTCAGGGTTAGTAAATCATAGTCAAACAATCCTGCAGCTACTCTGCTCATGAGTGGTGGTTAAGTCTTACTTCCTATGTCCTGTCATTTTTTTTGGCCAGTCCAGGTTTTGTGGTATTAAAGAAGTCTAATGCTTGAGATGCTGAGTTGCTCTAAGCCAGTTCAAGCCTTTGATAAGGTGTTTGCTGTTCAAACTGCTGAACTTCTACACATCCTCCTTCCATATCCTTGTTGCCACTTTTTCTGTTAGAGATTACCCACAATAATGCCAGTAGAGCAGCTAAAGGGAGTAGCTCTTGCCCATTTCAGTACATTTTCAGCCGTCTGGACCTGTGGTAATACAAAAAGTCTAGATGCATAGGAATACTAGTATTTTTTTAAAGTGTTAAAGTTGGATTTGTCAGATGTTTTCTGATATTTCTGTAAAAGCCAAGTCAGTGAAACAAAATGAGTATGAATTGCTCATTTGGAATGGAAACTCGAGAGGCTGCATGAAGCTTTTCTCTAAAACTAAAAGGCATAGTTTTCTATTCATTGTCTTTCATCGATAATGCCAAGGAACACTTTAGTGAGAAATCCTTTTACATGGGTGCTGTTCAAAATAAAACGTGATTCCTACAGACAACACAAGTTAGTTTTGAATGTTCCTATGCAGTCAGAGACTGTTTTATATGAGGAATACTGGATTGCAATTTCATCCTTTAACTTGTTCGAAAATAAGACTCCAGGCAGGGCTGAGAAGTCAGCTTCTGTAGGTTTGCATATACAAGCACTTAAAACATAACTTATTTTTACTGCATTTTAACTGGCATTCTGCCAGACAGCCTCGCTCTGTGTGTTCTGCAGTCTGCTTGCTTTTTCCTCCCCACCCACCTACCTTTGCAATGCTGCTGTGTTTTAGGGAATCAGTCAAAACAGCAATGGGAATGACAGTACCTACACTGTCATTTGTACCTTCTCTGTGCTGAGAAGGATGCCCATCTGCCTAGAAATGATTCTAGGCAATACAGGGGGGAAAAAAAAGGGAGATTAAGTGGCACAGCAATTGAATAAAGCTGTAGTTTAGTGGTGCTCGTGATGGATTATGTATAAATTGTCATGCCTTTTAAAATTCTAATCATGGTGCATTTGTAAAAGTATTTCTCCTTACTTACATAACAGGGTGCCTGAGGCTCTGCTGTTTTTAAAATCTGACAAGCTGACAATGTTGTGGTAATTCTGAAACACCGATGTTACCAGAGGCAACATGATTTTTATATTACTGCTTTTAGATTTCAGTAGTATTGAAACAGTAGAAAATCTTTTGCTATCAGAAGATATACTACAACTATGATGTCAACATGTTCATTTGACTAGTGGTATTTCAGTTTGCAACTTTTTATAATGCTCTGAAGCTGAGGTTTTATGATGCTGAAGAGCAAACCTTAACTAAAGGTTGTGCTCTTGGTGAACGTTTTATCTCACAAATTTGCTCTGCAGAGCTGAAATAATGTTTAAAGATTTAGTGTACTGATTTCTGCAATTCAAAATAAATCTCCTAATGCATAATGTTAATGTAGGTGAATGAATCCTCACTTAAGTTTCTATAATGTGTTTAAACCACCTGTAGGTACAGTGTTTCTTGATAAGTATTGGAGGTGCCTGAGGGGGAACTGTTTGCTTTCTTTCTGAACTGTTTTTGCCCCAGCACGCCCAGCTTGGCTGAGGGGCTCAGCTGTGCTCTGTCCATTGTAATGATGGGAGACACCAGCTAGAAAGTGACCAACTTCTGCACTGCCTATCTAGAGGTAACTGTGTGGGTGATAATGTTCTAATTACTTCAATCAGCCTTTTTTTTTTTTCAACTCACAAGCCATCTGTTTGTGCAGAAGTACTGGAGTTTCATTTAACACTCACCCACACAGTATGGATTCAGTAGTGGGCAGGTGAATGAGATCATTAATCCGAACAAAATGACTAAGATTCTGCCTGACATTTTTCATGGTTTCACAGCCTTTGTTCATCATTGGCAACAGGTAGTGGTTTGTCAAAATGGAGAGGGTAACAATTTAACAACTTAACTCAGTATTAGCAGCCTTTGGTTTTGCCATATAAATGTATAGTAATACAATGATTAGTACTGAGTGGGTTTATAGTCCAGCTATAAGAGAATAAAATATTTTATTCAGAATTCTGTTTTAATGCATATTTGAAATACAGTTTCTGCCTAGATCAAGAGTGTGACTCGTGAGTGGTTTAGTACCAAGGATGGGTACAGTAAGGAAGCTGAATATTAATCAGTAGGATAAGCAATGTATTTTGTCTTATTTCAGCAGAATAGGCCCTCCATCCTCTCCGACAGGAGGAGAGAAAGAGGAAAATCCTGCTCTGCTGGCCGAGAATTGTTTCAGAGAACTACTAGGACGAGCAACCTATGGAAATATGAATAATGCTGTCAGACCAGTTTTTGCGTAAGTTAAAAATTCATGACATGTGTTAAGAGATTTTCTTTATTTCATCCTCTTTTCTGTTGCACTAAATTCCTTCCTCCTTTTCAACCCAAAGGATTCCATTCATGTTTCTTCAAAAAATTGCTCCTCTTTTCATGTCACCTCTTTGTTGCCTGTATGTTAACTCAAAGGTAGTTGCAGAGAAAACTGATTTTAGAAGTGAATGCAATAGTTTGGATGGATCGTTGCCTCAGATGGCCTTTTTTTTCGACGTGAATCTGTTTATTCAAGATATTAATTTCCCATGGATGAGTGTTGCAATCAGTGGAGAGACAAACCAAGTAAAATACAAATAGCACAACAAAAGTTGCAATTTATACTGCCAAGTCAAGTCCAGTGTTTTTCAGTTCTCTGCGTTTGCCCTGTTGATTCCTTAAAAATATGTTGTGAAAAAAGCTACAAGCACTGAGATGAGTTAAGTCTGCCTCTTTCACCTCTGTTAAATGTCTGTTGCAAAGTAGGCATTTATCTCCTGGCTCTGCTTAGGCACATTGCACAGCAGAGCAGGGTTCGTGGCGTACAGGGAAGTTTTCCAGGCTCCATGTCCAAGTGGAGATCAGTGACAGGTGGTGCTCCCCAGGGGTTGGTAATGGGACAGCACTGTTTAACATCTCTGTCAGTGATATAGACAGTGGGATTGAGTGCACCCTCATAAAATTGTCCAGTTACACCAAGCTGTGTCGTGCAGTCAAACTCAGGAGGGAAGGGATGGCATCCCAAGGAATAGGGACAGGCTTGAGAGGTGGGACCTGTGAAAACCTCATGAGATTCAGTATGAGGTCCTGCATCTGAGTCAGGCCAATCCCCGGAACCAGTACAGGCTGGGGGATGAAGGGATTGAGAGCAGCCCTGGGTAGAAGGACTTGGGAGTGTTTGCTGATGAACAGCCCAGCAATACCTGGCAATGTGCTCTGACAGCCCAGAAAGCCAAATGTGTCCTGGGCTGCATCAGAGAGGGAGGGGATTCTCCCCATCTGCTCTGCTCTCGTGAAACCCCACGTGGAGTACTGTGTCTGGCTCTGGGGCCCCCAGTGTAAGAAAGACATGGACCTGTTGGAGCGAGTCCAGAGGAGGCCCCAGAGATGATCAAGGGGCTGGAGCACCTCTCCTATGAAGAAAGTCTGAGGGAGTTGAGTTTATTCAACCTGGAGAAGAGAAGGCTCTGGGAAGACCTTAGAGCCCCTTCCATGCCTTAATGGGGCCACAAAAGAGCTGGAGAGGGACTTAGGACAAGTGTGTGTAGCAGTAGGACATAGGGGCATGGCTTTGACTTGAAAGAGGGTAGATCTAGATTAGATATTAGGAAGAAATTCTTCACTCTGAGGGAGATGAAGCACTGGCACAGGTTTCCCAGAGAAGTTGTGGATGCTTCATCCCTGGAAATGTTGGAAGACCAGGTTGGATGGGGCTTTGAGCAACCTGGTCTAGTGGAAGATGTCCCATCCCATGACAGCAGGGTTGGGAACTAAGTGATCTTTACAGTCCCTTCCAACCTAAACCATTCTGTGTTTCTATGAAAGTTCACGTGTTCTAGGCATAAATCTTTGCAGGAAGCTCTGCACTTTCAAACCCCGGCTTTCCCTGGGGATGAGAAGAGCTGCTTGCTCCTTGTAGATTTTTCAAGATATGCTTCTGTTACAGGAATACGTTCTCTTAGATGGCCTTAGTTCTTCCCACAGGTATTAAGTATTTTATTCGTACACTGAAGGACTTTCAAGCTACCAAAAGCCATTTTCAAGTTACTGCTGTTACGAACAGAAATTGCAAAGGAAGGTAGGGTTGGTACTGAGAGCAGAAAATTTTTGTATCCTTTTGTTTTTCCCCAGAAAGCATTAAATACAAAGAAGTATACTATTCTCTTATTTTCCATAGGTACCTGTTATACCAGCCTGATAGGATTTTAAATGTTGCAAAATTGAGTGTTTAATTAAGAAATACTCATTCTTCCCTAGATTTAAAATTTGCATTCCCCAAATACCTGCCACCAGAGTGAACAGTTAGGTGCCAAAAAGTCTGAATGGACTATTTGGAACTACATTGCAGCTACTTTCTTACCACTTTTAAATTCTTTTGATAGGTTTATCACAAAACTTTATCATCATGTGCAGTTACTGCAGTCTTTTGTATCATTTTAGTATCAGGGAAGTTTCCTATAAATAATTCCTGATTCCCTAGACAAGAGTTAGTGCTTGGTTTGGGATTTGAGGAGGTGTCATACCTGTTTATCCTGTTGAAAGTCTAAAGCCTGATGTACTCCCAGCGTGTTCACCTCAGCGTGCCACATGCTGCCCTGAAATCAGTAGATAATAACCAGGTGCTCAGAATATATCATCTCTTTTATAGACAGTCTTTGTGGTCACCATTTGTGTTCATTCTGAGGAAGAATTGCCAAATGTGTCTTTTTAGAAATGATTGCTGTAAAGGTTTAGTATTTTTGAAGAACAAGAGATGCAGAAAATGCAATTTCAATCTGTTCTTCCTAAACAAAAAGGGAGTGCTGTATCTAATCAGCTTCACTTTGTGAGTGAGCACAACAGGTAGAATGAAAGTTCGAGATAGCGAGTCCATTGTACTTTATCGGATTGAAAAACCTGACTTAGCATATGATTAGGAAACAATTTCCCCTAACAATTTTCAACAATTTTACAGCTTTTAAGAAAACTCTGGAGCAATAGATAAGGCCTCTTATGTTAACACTGAAGGTACAGATTCAATTCCCCACTGGAAGATTCGTTTCATGTGGCACTGGAATATCAGGCAAAGTGGTATCACTTCCTTGCAAAGCTGAGATAATAGTGCTTCTGTCATCATGAAACTGGGTGTATTCAGTGATTGAGGGATTTAAAAATAATGAAGATAGTAGAAATCTGAAGTCAGTCTCCTGATACAGGTTTGGATTGACCTTAATTTTCCTTGCCTTTGGTAGAAAATCTCCATGGTTATAAATGTCTTCATGTAGCTAAATACTCTCAAATAATAATTTTTAATGAAATCTGACAGATCAGTCTGGGAAATTGTTTAATGAAAGTAAAAAAAATAATTATATTAACATTACCTGAAAAAATTTTCTATGTTGTATCAACAGTCAGAAGCTATTGAGACTTACTTAGCATGAATTTGCAGTGGTGAATAGATTAGGTAGATTCAAAGAGATCCAGGAACCTAATGAATATAAAAAACTTCCCAAGTGTAAAAACTGTTTATCTTACTGTATTTCCTTTCTTGTCAGTTATCACATCATCTCTGCAAGGCTTTCAAATACTAACACACTGGTGCATGATGCGTGAGCAGATTATTTTGTATATTCCCATACATGCATGCCTCAGTTATACTCTCTAATCCTCAGTATCATCTTGTACTGTAAGGATTGCTTGCATGTGTGACAATGAGAGGGAGTTCAGGGATCATTAATGGCGTGATTGGTTCTGCTGTTCCTTTTAAATTGAGAAACCCAGTAGTGCACATTTGCCACATATATGCAACAGATCTCAATGGAAGGCAGCTTGGCATTTGTTAATCCAACAGTAAAATGTTTTGTAACCTTACTTGGATCTTCTTTATTGAAATAAATGTAATTTGGAAAAAAAACCAAAGGAGTCAAGGTGTGACTCAATTTTAACGAAGTAAATACACCATGCTGAAAATACCCTTTACCCTCTTTTACAAAAACAAAACTACATTGAATACACTCTGTTATGATCAGTAAAATGTGTCACCTACAGTAATCTAATACTGGTGTTCTTAGGAGGAAAATTCTAGTACACAAAGTAAGCTGCCCATTGAGCTGTTACACAGATCTTTGACCTAGGCTGTCATCTTCCCTCTGCTGTCATCCCATCAGTTCATCTACCTGAAGCAGCTAATACTTGGCCTTTCTGGAAGAAGAAAACTGTATGTCTTGTTTTGAGAGGATTTTTTTTTTAACATGATATAAGATGTGGTTGACTGTAATCTGCCTGAATGGATCTTTGGGGCAGATAAATAGGAACTGTCAAGGGTAACAGAGAACACATGCTGCCCTGAAAGATTAAGGGATCAGTTCCAATCAGGAGAAAATAGTGGAGAGTATGATTTTCTATTTGATGAGAAAAAAATAAAATAGGTTAGCTAAAATAAGCTATCATGTACAAGAAATGATGGACCGTACTGAAATGATATTAAGAAGGAAGAAGACATGAATAAATACATTATAAACCTCTATTCCCTGAAGGACTTAAAGAGGTGATTTTGTTTGTTTTTCTACCTCAAGGCAGGATTAATTATACCTGTGCATTTGCAGTGTGCACAAGAAAGGCAGTTATCCCCAACAGGTAGTCGGGTTTGATATTTAGTAATGCAGATCTGTTGTTATTTAGACAGGCAAAATACCTTTAAAATCCCTGACATTCTTTCCTGTAGGGATTTCTATTAAAGGTATGTAATGTGTCAAAATGGCAGTACTCTTTTTTTTTTTAAGCTCTGCAGTGGACTGCAAGATAATTTAGGGCACAGGAGAGGATGGCTTTGTGTCAGCTGGTTTAATCAAGCTTGAAGGAGACCTGTGTACGCAGCTGGGTCACTGTGCTGGGAGCAGCTGCCCATTGAGTGAATTGAGACCTCCATTTTCTAGACAGAGAAAGTTTAAGCATCCATTCAGTCCTCCTGTGTTCAGAGCACTGACTCCTTTCACCTGTGGACTTTTGAGCTTGCTGTTTGAAGCATCTTTATGTGTTTCCTACGTTCTTTGAGAAAGGGCAGAGCAGTGAGGATTCTGTAGCTGAGATACCTGTTTAGAAACACAACCTAAATTCAGTTTCTGTTAGAAAGTTTTTTGGTGGTTTGGCCTGTTTGTTTGTTGTTTTTTGGTGAATTTGTTGGGTTTCATATGTTTTTTTTTAAACCTAAATCATAGCAATTAAAATGCATCCAAAATTACCTTTTCTTTCAGTCTTCTAGATTGAAAAATGCAGTTATTTTTGTCATGCTTTTTCAGATACTCAGATCTCCTTTTTGCAAAACTTTGTGTGCCCTATTCATAGCTTTCAGCATAGTGCTTAAGCAGAATTCCTTGTATTTGCTTAAACTCTGACAGAGTTTGTCATTTGTGGTTCCTCTCCCATTTAAAAAGAGAACCATGCATTTATCATTTGGATTCTGTTTTGGTATTTCTTGCAGAAACTGTTGAATTGCTTCAGATGTAAAGGTGTATATGCATGAAGAGTAGGGTTTTTTTGTTTTCCATATATTTTATTCATGAAACCACCATGAAAAGAAAAATAGTTCTTACAATCTCTGTTCTGAATGGAACATTCAGCCCTAATTATTTTGTAGCTTGTGATTAAAAACAAGTTATTTATCTTCTGTAGAGTAGAAGTTTGTCTGGGTGTTACAACATCCTCTTCAGCATACCTCTCATATAAGTGAGCATCTAATATCAGAGCCATTTTTATGCTTGCATTTTGTGTGGAAAAAGTATATATTCTTAACTGCATATCTCTGGAGTGACAAGGTTCCTTAAATTTCTGGAACTAGAAGCTCAGGCATTTCTGTTTCAGCGGCATGTATTGTGATCACATCCTAAACCTTGAAAAAAATGCTTTTTTTAAGTTCTAGATTTCTCAGTGAGTTATTAAGTCATTTTTTAGAAGTTTTATGTAAGTAAATAATCCCTTGGGGATGAATTTTGAGAAAACCCTAAGATACCATTTGTTATATCTGCAGAATGTCATTATTTCAGGTCTCTTAATTTTTGCTTACAGGCATTTAGACCACCATAGACTATGGGATCCTAATGAATTTGCTGTTTCCTGCTTTAAAATCATCATGTATTCTATACAGGTAGGATTTTCTCCAGTGTTTTTTTTTTTCCTTGCATGCATGTTTCGAACACATGAGAGAGGTTTAAATGCTCACCTTACCATGATAATGGTAGACAGTAGATGAAGTCAAAGAATCCAGAAGATCCCTTTCAATAACTCCAGTGGCAGGTAGTGCAGAGGTCCTTCAGCAAGCTCCAGAACGAGGACTAGGATAGCTGTACTGATCTGGCATTGTGCTTGACAAATAGATCTCTCAAATTGGTCATTTCTGTGTGCCAGTACAGCTGTGCTGCTTTTACAGCTCAAGAAACCAACTTCACATGGAACTGTGTTGTGCTCAAGGTTTTTATTAGTGAGCAGCCTGTATTGTGGCCTTAAGCTGAAGGAGGAAAGGTGGAAATTGGATATTAGGGAGAAATTCTTTACTGTGAGGGTGGTGAGGCACTGTACAGGTTTCCCAGAGAAGTTGTGGATGCCCCATCCCTGGAAGTGTTCAAGACCAGGCTGGGTGGGTCTGAGTACCCTGGTCTAGCAGAAGGTTCCCTGCCCATGACAAGGGAGTTGGAACTGGGTGATTTTTAAGGTCCCTTCCACCCCAAACCATTCTATGATTATATGATTGTCTGTGATAAACATGATCCAAGTCTGATTCTTTGTGTCAAACAGACATGCAGAAGATCAAGTCATAACAGTCCAGGTTTGTAGAAGAAAACTGAGTTTTCTCAGCATTTATATCAATGGTGCTGAAGTCCTTGAACTGCAGTTGGCTCACTGAAGGACCACTTCACACGTCCTCTGTGCTGTAGATGTTCCTTGATATTTTAAGACTGTAAACTTTTGTATGCTGGGCTGAATGGACCTGTGTAGCTTCATCTATCATGGTACTTTTTTGAAGTCATGTTTAGTCATGAATTGATGGAAATTTTGTTAAATTTCTGAATGAAAATGTTGCAGAACAGGAACATGGTCATGACTATAGCTGAGCGGTGTATGAGTTCATTTTCATTACAGTCACAGATGAAGCTTTTCTGTCTGTTTTTTAATAGGCACAATATTCCCATCATGTCATACAAGAAATCCTTGGACACCTTGACGTCCGCAAAAGGGACTCCCCACGAGTCCGTGCCGGCATTATTCAAGTTCTTTTGGAAGCAGTTGCAATAGCAGCTAAAGGATCAATAGGTAAGTTGTATTAAATTCAAGACATCAGGTCAAAGGATAGATTTGCAGGGTGGTGCTCGTTTTTGCTTTGGTTTCAAACTGAATGAAAGCATTTATTTTGAGAAGGTTTTGTATTTACTCGTTTTTTCTCCTTTGTGCTGATAAATTACTCAAACGTACTCTATTGTTTGACTGTTATATAACCCTTGTATTGAAAAACTGAATGAAAATGTCGTGAAGGGCTGGAATTCCTGTTTGTTAAGAAGTTTGCAAAGTCTGAGAGAACTGTGTGACTACAGAATGTCAAGAGCACTGTCGCTTTTTGACACAGCTACTGTGACCTGAGTGGTAATATGGGAGTTGAGTAAAATGATCCTTTGAGAAATTTTACCTTAATAACTGTGAAGCAGCTGAAACAAGGTGAAATATGTAATTTAAATGTGATATAGTTCCTTGAAATAGAAGTAGTTAGGAAGATACATACACACATGTGCTCTGCTTCTGATTTTTTTTGGTCTCGTGCTGTAATATTATTGCTCTGCCTCATTAGTTTGAGTCTGAGCCTGTCCTTTCTCTTTATACAAGACCCACTTGCATGCACAGACCTGTGAAGTCTTTTACTGTATGATGAAAAGAGCTCATTATTTGATCCAATATTTAGAACTGGATTTTAATAGCAGGTTTTGAAATAAATGAAGTTCGGGGTTGGGTACCTGCAGTTTAACCCATCGTTGATGCTTAATTTCAGCAACCACTCCTATTTTTTATCTGAAACTTGCATGGTGGCTTGATTCTGGCCAACAGCTGTTTGCTCATTCCCCTTTCCCACAGGACTGAAACAATGTAGACAGAAGGTGAGAAGTCTCATGGATCAAGATAAAGACAGTTTAATGGGTGGAGCAAAGGCTACATGGGCAAGGAAAAAAGTTACCTCCATCCTGGCCAGACCCAGTACACTTGATCAGAATGGATTATGCAGATGTATCTGATTGCATTTCCTGATTCCAAGTTAATTTCTAAAACATCAAGATGTAGGCACACTTCAAAACTTCCTTACGCCTCAAACATGAATTTCACTTGAGTTTCTTATGCTTACTCAGATTTCTTGTGAAAAGGGATTGAAAAGGTCAGTTTTCATTTTCTTGAGACATCTTTCCCTTGACAGGTGCAATCACTGTTATTTGTTGTTTCCAGGCCCCACAGTTCTGGAGGTGTTTAATACCTTGTTGAAGCACTTGCGCATCAGCGTTGACTTCGAGCTGGGTGACAGGCGCAGCTCAGCGGGAAGTGCTGCTTTCAGCACGAGCTCCAAGGAGAGCGATGAGAGGATTGTCCAGAATGCAATTATTCAAACAATTGGTGAGTAATGACAGTAACACAGGCTCACTTAAAATCCCTCCTGTTTTTCCCCTTCCACAATGAGATGGTATTGGACCAGCTTGAATCCAAAAAGAATAATACCAAGTGTGATATCTCTGATTGTATTTGCCTCATTCTCAGGCTCACTTTATGTGTTTGTCTTCTGAAAGGTTGTTCTTTTAAATGCTAACTGAGCAGATAGGGAAGAAGCTCGATGATAATTAAAAATGCTGGTAGACTTAAATTTTAGTTACGTTATTGTATGGCCCTTGAAATATAGAAATAAATCCCTACCTTAGGACTAATATTAGTCCTTTTATGAGAATCATATTGCAAACAATCGTATACAGTAAAATATATTTTAGTAGGAGCTACCTGAAAACTCGTAGAAACGAATGTTAAACACAGTAGCAACAATGACACCTAATGGCCGGGTGTGCTACAACAACTTAAGTACTTTAACGGGCAGCACTGTAAGCGGCGTAACAAATTCTTTAAATTGTTTTGTTGGAATACCCTCTCCCCTTTTCTCAGATTTTCTCTTTGTGATACTGATATTATATATTGCATTGCATTTATGATGTGTATTCCTTTCCTTAAAGAACAAGGGGAAGTGTAACTTAAATGTTGTTTACTAATCTGTACCTTGAAGCTTTTTAGAGCAGTACCAAGTATGTAATAGATTATTTCTCATCATTGCAGTAGAACTCCAATTTAAAATATTAACCCCCCCCCAAAAAAAAAAATGCTGGAAACCTCACAACCCAACTTTTTAAAGTAAAACTTCTTTCTGTCGATCATTGATTTCAAATCCCTGCTCCTCAAAGGACTTCTTACAACTAAACCATGCGACTAAGAGCATTGTCCAGATGCTCCTTGAGCTCTGTCAGGCTTGATGCTGTGACCACTTCCCTGGGGAGCCTGTTCTAGTGACCAGCTGCCCATTCAGTAAGGAACCTTTTCCCATCTGAGCTTCCCCTGATGAAGCTTCATTCCATTTCCTCATGTCCTATCGCTGGTCACCAGAGAGAGGAGATCAGCACCTGCCCTTCTGCTGCCCCCCTCAAGGAAGGTGTAGACTGTGATGAGGGCACCTCCCAACCTTCTCTTCTCCAAGCTGAACAAACCAAGTCATCTCAGCTTCTCCTCATAAGTCTTGCCCTCGACATCCTTCACCATCTTGGTTGTCCTTCTCTGAACAGCCTCTTAATAGTTTGATATTCTTATATTGACGTGCCCACAACTATGGAGGTGGGGCCGCCCCAGTGCAGAGCAGAGTGGGACAATCACCTTCCTTGACCGGCTGGTGATGCTGTGCCTGATGACCCCCAGGATATAGTTGGCCCTCCTAGCTGCCAGGGCACCCTGCTGACTGACACTTAACTTGCTGTTGACCAGGAACCCCAGGTCTCTTTCCATGGGGAATGTTGGGAATAACAGCATTATCTCTGTTCCCCTCCCTGGGTGCAGTCTCACAGCTGTGGCCATGCTACCGTAAGAGCAGGGCTCAGCCTGCAGCTGGCATTGGGGTGGCAGTGCAGTCCTACTGGAACTTTGACTGGGCAGCTGCCTCAGTCGTGGGGGGTGCAGGTCTTAGAGAGGCCAGGGCCTTCTATGGGTAGAAACTAGTTCTCCCTGGTTGAGCTGGAAGAGCTACAGCACCCTCCTTGTGTGCCAACTGTTGCTAGCACCCCCTAAGGGATTCTTTTAAGGCCAGGGAGGGTGTGTGTGCCTGATGTTTCTCTTGGCCCTGCACAGGCCCCTTCAGCCATTGTGGCACAGGCTGTGGGCTCCAGGTGGGTCTTTCTGCTCCCCTGGGTTCCTTTGGTTCGGGAAGCTCCCCCTGTGCACCTTGTGGAGCTCCCTGGAGCACTCCACTTCCCATCAGGAGCTGGTTGCATCCTCAGTCCCTCGGTACAGCAATAGTCATATATCACTTGTATGTCTGGGATTTGTGTCCCCTCACTTGTAACATTTAACGGAGACTTCACAGACAAAAGTAACAGCACTGTGTACCGTGTGGAACACTTCCAGTTCCTCATTAGTTACAAATTAACAGATGCCACGCATGTAATTTTTAAATTGTATATTTAGAGGAGGATAAAATTAGAACACTTTAGGATTCAGAGTTGGAAGCAAATGTCACAAAAAGACTCTCTAAAGCCATTCAGCAGAAATGAATATGTGAGATTATGGCCTAAAACAAATCATAATTTTATTCTCATCTATTTTGACCTTGTTAATATATTCCTTGTATTTATAAGGCTTTCCTTATAAAGAGAAGAGCCCTATTTATCTTCTGTGATTTCATTCTATTTTTATTTAGGATTTTTTGGAAGCAATCTTCCAGATTACCAGAGATCAGAGATTATGATGTTCATTATGGGCAAAGTACCTGTTTTGGGGACTTCACAATCACTGGATACCAGCCACCTTGGGTTTGTATATCCTACATTTTTAATTAGATTCTTGATAAAGTATGAAGCAAAAAACATTAAGAAAAGTGAAATGCAAATCCTTACTCCTTAGGGGCTGTATTAAATACTATGCAGAAGACAAATACTATGCAAATACCAAGACAAGCGCAGTGTCAGCAATATGAAATCAGCCAACAGACTTGATACTGATAGAAAATACCTGGTTGGAATCAAGCTTATTTTGCACTAAAACATTTCTTCTCTCCATATCTGTACAGATGTTTCCAAAATTATCCAGCGAATGCTGGTTAATTCCATAAGTTCTTACATGAGTGTTTTGGGAATGAGGAAAATTAAACTATGTCTACCTTTTTGCAAATAGCTGCATAATTTTCAAATTTTTTTGTTTTTAATACATTCTGTTCAAGCTGACTTCAGCTTAAGAAATAAACTGTACAAATTCCAGTGAATTTGTTTTAATTTTTCCCTATTTATTTAGAAATAGGAAAAAGCTATAGGTGGTCAGATTTCTGTAATAAATCCATATTTAAAAAGTTGCCATACACTGAAGTAGTTTTTTTCCCTGTAATGTGAATAATTATGTTGAAAAGACTGTGCTTCCTCAGTATGGGGAAAGTCACTGAAGAGGCTACAACTGTTCTTTCCAGATGTGCATGGACACTTTGCAGCACATAACTGGTCCTCTGCTAGATTAAGTAGGAAGTTATTGTCATTCTCCTGGCTTCTTGGTAGCTTTTTGTACACTGTTGTGTCCCTGTGGCGTGGGATGATATTCCATGGAAGATAGAAATCTGTCTGTGCCAGGCAGTTATCACTCATTAAGAAGGTATTTGAAGAACAAATCCATGTAAAAGTCTGTGCTTGGATTAACAGTTGTGTGTGTGTGTTTTTTAACTACACAATTTTCTTTTTATGGGGTTCTGTGTAAACATGCACCTGAGTGTGTTAGTATGCTGTGCATGTGTCATTCTGAATAAAGCAGGCATTCTGACTGCTGATACAGTCTTGCATTGCATGAAATTTTGGTCTCTGCTACCCAGAACATTTGAATGATACAATAGCCAGGATTACAGCCCCTGTAGGTGGAAGTTTCCACTGTTATGTAGGGACCAACTCCTGTGAATAGTTTTGCTCTTTCTTTATGCTACTGATGCACAAAGTGGTTTGTACCTTTTTTATTTTCCTGAGAGAGTCTCTTTGAATGGAGCAATTTATTCCAAGTGCACTTTTATCTCGTAAGATCTTGCAAGAGTAGTGACTACATACCATTAGCTCTTTGGCTTCTTTTAGTACCAGCAGACAGAAAATGAAAACAGATGAAGAACAGGTTAAGTAGTGTTCTGTGTACCTTCCTGTGATACCAAAACTGAGGGATCTTTCAGTTTTCCTTTACTGATTTTGCGAATAATTTTTTTCCAGTCTCAGCGTTCTGAGGTCTGATTTAAATAAGAGGTGTCCTTGTTTCTTAAGAAGACTCAATTACATTCTGATTCAGAAGAAATTCTGAGTGCTGCTGCTTGTGAAAAGAAAGTGAAGCTTGTAGTGGTTGAATGTTTTAGATACAAAGGGATTGCTAAATGAAACATGAATTTTAGATCTGCTTTACAGTATACAATTTACTGTTTTCTTCAGTTCCATGAGCTCCATTTTTTTAAGCCTTTCTGTAAATGTCTCTTCCAAAAACATTTAGTTATTGCACCTCAGTTGGAGATATTTGCCCTTTATTTATGATCATCCAGCATCCCTTCCAAGTCTGCTGTATTCACCTGTAGAAATGCAGTTGCTAGAATGATGTCTAGGTAATATTTTGAAGATATGCAAAAAAACCTAATTTGCAACTTTTTTTTTCTAATTGCAGAGATTTGGGAACTAGAAGGATTCAGATCATGTTACTGAGATCTTTACTTATGGTAAGCCTTTTGTGCTCAGTATACTATGTTATAAACACATAATGTCTCACTTTATCTATATTTTTACATACATAAGTACAGTATAACAACTCTGGATTATGAATTAAACATACATTCCTATTACATACATCTGGAATTCTACTGTGTAAAATTGTGAAAGCATTTTCCCAACTTAGATTACAAACAGGTCAAGAAATACTCCTCCATCTCTTAGAGCATATTAGTGAATATCAGTTATAATTGGATCTGCAGATCCAAAAGAACATCATAGAGTAGGTTGAGTTCTGCCAGCAATACTGGCAATATCAAAGTGAAATCACTTTTGTCTCTGAGCCCAGAAAAGCAGTAATTAGTAGAGTGGACAATATTTTTAAAAGCACAGAAGTGGATGCCTATCTCCAAGTCCTTAAAGCTTCAGACGCAAATGTTCTTTCCTTCCTAATATTTCCCAAGTTTCTTGTAAGGTATGACTGAATGTTTTAGCAAAAATACATTTTTTAACTGTAAACCTTTAAAGAGTATTTCTGGAAATAGACACAGATGGTAAGAATCAGAAAGTGGGTGGTAAAGGAAACTCTTACCAGTAGAAGCCTGCCAGTTTTGTTGCAGAAGCTGAAAACTGTTTAGTCACTGAAGTAGGGGATACAGCATAAAGAATGATCTCACAACTAAAGCAGAAGAATACTTTCCTGGAAAATGAGCTTCTATCCCTGCTTTGACGTGATGTTTGTGTGTGGTGTTAGGCAAGTTGTTTAAACCATTCTTTGCTTGTACAAATCTGAAATCCTAGACTGTGGTTTGCAGAAGACCTGAGCATTCACAGTTGCAATTTAAGATAGAAAACTTGTTAGAAAGGGCCTCAGGTGGTCATTTTGCACATTGTCTCCAGTAAAGATAGACTCAGGTATGCCTAAGCTGTTCCTGACAATATTCATCTCACTGGTCTTAAAGTTCCATCCAAGTCAGTAAGAATTGTTCTCATGATTTTGAGTACTGCATAGCCTAAGTATACTTTAAGGGATTCAGGTTGTGCATGTGGGAGGAATTTAACATTTTGGACACTGAATTTAAATTTGCCTTCTCTTTAGAATATGGAAGTAAAATCCCATCATGGCACAAATGTGTGAAAGTGAATGTTCTGTTGCTTAATGAATTACTCAGACATTGATAAATACTGTGAAAAAAATGTGAGCATTGTACATCATGTATTCTTTACAAAAGAATAATATTTCATAAAATAATTAGTCTGTTCCCATGCATACACACAGGCAGACAAGTTAATGTTAATAGGCAGTTGAAATCTGGCACTTAATTAAAAGTGTGCACTTACATTTGCAGCCTTGCTGCTTGTAATATTAGCCATTTTCCATTTTCAAAATGATTGGTTAGATACCTTCATGTGCCCTTGTACTCCTCTGCCAACCACTTCTCTTTGAACACCTTCAGTTATGCTGCAGGCACAGTGCTTGCTCACGTGTTGTGGTTTAACCCCAGCAGGCACCAGGGACCACCCAGTCACTCCCTCACTCTTCCCCAGAGGGATGAGGGAGAGAATCAGAAGGTACCAGTGAGAAAAGTGGGTTGAGATGAAAACAGTTTAGTAAGTAAAAGAAGGAAACCAAGAGAAACAAAACCAAGTAATAACAAAATAAACCAAAACCCACACCCAAAATCCAGTTGCTCACCACAAGCCAGCTGATAGCCAGCCAGTCCCTGAGGAGTGGCAGCCCTTGCAAACTACCACCTCTTTTGTTGCTGAGATGACACATTTTAGTGTGGGATATCCCTTTGGAAGTCTGCAAGCTCTGCTCAGCAGTAACTAAATCAACCCCATATTATCAGCACTGTTTTGGTCACAAATCCAGAACACAGCAGCGTATGTGCTACTATGAAGAAAATTAACTGTCCCAGCCAAAACCAGCACAACACAGTTCACATGTAAAAGGATATGGAATATGTATAATAAAGATGCAATTATTAAGTAAGCCTTAGATAAAAATATTACTGTGTTTATTATAATTAAATTTTGAATAATTTTTCTCCCCTCATGCTCAGTACCTTATACTTTGCAGTTTCTGAATCTGTTTTGTTTTTGAGATTCTAGTATTCTGATAACCTCCATTTTAAATTTTAAACATTTCTGACTGCTGTAAATGTTCAGCTAATTAATATCTGAATTGTCAGTAGAAGTTTACTTTTCTTTATATACCTACAGAGTTTACTTTAATTAAAAGTAATTGAATGAGGCAAGTCAGAAGTCGTATCAGTTTAACAAAAGAAAAAAAAAAACACTCTGGTACCAGTTTTCTAAGAAAGTGGTGTTTGCTGCTTACATTATGTTTAGCAATAAAGTAGTATCAATAAATGTTTAAGGTGTACATACAAGCTCTGACTTCTCTTTTTTAATTCACATGAGCTTACTCAGTAACATATGTGAACTGAACAGCACATAGCCTGAAATGGAAAAATCTCTATTGTAATTATTACCATCTTCATTTTATGCCCTGCAACTTTTCATAGGCCATTTAGAAAAAGAATTCATACCTTTTCTTTTTCTTCTGGGTGTCTTGGTAAAGGAAGGATCCTGGGAAACAATCCTTTTAACAAATGAGAGAGTTAATTTGAAAATGTGTGTTGGAGTCCTTCCAAATCCATAGTGAGGTCAGGAGTTTTCAAAATTAATCCAATACTTCAATTTGAATCCACCTTTCAGATGCCAAAGCAAGCCCACTAAAAGTGTGTGACAAATACAGTTAATTCTTCCAGAGCAGTAACGACACACATTAATTTAACTTCCGTCAATGAACAGGTGACTTCAGGATACAAAGCCACAACGATCAGTAATGCACTTCCTCCCCCGTTCCTGGACCCGTTACTGTCTCCTTCACTCATGGAGGACTCTGAGCTCAGGCAGCTGGTCCTGGAAATCCTGCATAACCTCATTGATCGGCACGACAACCGAGCGAAGCTCAGAGGGATACGGTACTGCTTTTTGTTTGCTTTGGCCTACTTGAAATTCTAGTTTAATACCTGAAAGATAAGTACTGTTGATTTTTAAATACTGTTCCTAACGTGAAATTTTGATGTACTGTTTTGGTAAATGCACAGTGTCTTTTATTGATGGCAGGCGTTTTACAGGTAAGCCTCAGTGCTCATACCTTAAATAACCATTTCAAATATCTGCTAGTTTAGCTGTGGAAGACAGAATATGTTATTTTATGTAGCGAAGAAAAAACGTGCTTGTCATAATTCTGTTTATTGTTCTCCCTCTTCAACTGAAATTTGAATACCATTGTTAAGACTGGATATAATTAAAAGGGAAATTGCATTAAGATTGGTTTGAATAGTTCCTATATTTCACATCCTCTTCCTTTTCAACTTTTTTTTTGCTAAAATGATATTTTTCTTATGTTTGTAGAATAATACCAGATGTTTCTGATCTAAAGATAAAACGAGACAAGATTTCAAGGCAGGATGTGAGCTTCATGAAAAAGGTAGCAGAGTGAAACATCACTTTTGTATTTAGAAATAAAGTAACTGAACCAGTTATTTTGCTTGTCTTCTACAGTTGTATTTTTGCAAGACGTTGCAAAGATCAGTACTAAATGTTTTTAATCAAATTACAGTGATTTCAATGTTGAAGTGTTCTAGATACTTTAAAGATGGTTCCATGAAATAAAATTGCCATGTATCTTAGGTGAAAACTTGTATGCATGAAATTAGACAGAGAATTAAAAGAATAAAAAAGGATAAAATAGATGTGTACACATGCATACACAAACAAGTACATGATTAACCAATATTACCACTAGTTTCTAACAACAGCTTCTTTATAAACACAGTACTGGTCTGTTTTACACAGAGAATTGCATGAATACTGCACTGTGGTCAGATGTTGGCATTCATTTCCTGTTGAAATATTAAAAAAAATAATTTTCCATTTATGAAAAGGAGGAATCTAAGATGGCCCTGCTTGAAGTAGAGAGTTGGACTAGAAGACCTTTAAATACCCTTTCTAACCTAAGTTATTCTATTATTTTAATATCATTTTCCCTTTTATGTCTTTTATAGCATGGTCAGCAGCTGTACAGACACATCTACTTAGGCTGCAAAGAAGAAGACAATGTCCAAAAAAACTTTGAACTCCTGTTTACATCTCTAGCTCTTACCACAATTGAACTGGCCAATGAAGAAGTGGTTATTGACCTCATTCGATTGGCTATTGCCTTGCAGGTATGAGGCTGAACTGGTGGTGTGTTTGTTGACTGGCAATTTATATTTGTAATTGGATATGTAACTTGTTTTGTTTGTATATTGATCTTCAAATTGGAAATCTCATCATTTGGTCCAAACATGTTTGAGCCACTAAGGAAGTACACTTTGTACATGCCACTTATTATAGGGAAAGCTTCAGCTAATCAGTTTTGTAACAAATTTCTACAGCATGTGCTATTCAGGAAAAGTAGCAGATGTGGAAATTTGTTGAAATGTTTCCTAGAATCACTGATATTTGTTAGCAGATTGAAAAGGTGTTCTTACAACATGTCATTGTGCATCAGTGTTCTGTATAAAAGGTATGAACTGTCCTTGCCTTGGATGAAAGCTTTTGTATAATTGTTTGGTTGGGAATATTTGTCAAACCAAGCTATTTAATCTCACCTTAGAGTAAAATTCTGTTAGTGTGTTGATAGGCTTTATTCCTTAACATTTTGTTAAAAAAATCATACATTGTCTCATACTTGCATACAGTCTTCAGGGAAACTGTCAAACTTACTAAGTTTGTCTGTGTTGAAATCAAAGCATTAAAAAAAATAAAGGAGTGCTAACATGTGCCCTGTAAATTTGATGAAATCAGGCCCTGTATTCCCAGTTCTCTCTGTCATTAATCTTATTCCCAAATGTGCATCTGTATTATGAAACCTCTGAAATGCAGTGTGCATCCTTAATTATAAAATTTGTCACAGAACCAAATCCTTACTTAATAAAAATGACATTAGGAGTTTTACTAGAGCAAAAATAATGCAGTCTGAATAAACATAGAAATGCTAATAAGGATGAAATAATTCCCTTTATGATGCTGTATCTGTGACTCACACAGGTGATCTTTGTGATTAAACTGCTATTTCTAATTTTCCTGAAAAAATGTTTTGATCAGGAGGTGGTAAGTACAAGAGATTACCAGTTATAAACCAGTACTTCCTTTCTGAGAAACAGAATTTTGAGTTGAGTAAATTTATTTCTCTTCGTAATTGTTGAATTTTTAAGCTTTTTAACTTCAGATCAATATATTTGTAGTTCAGGAGTGAGCTAAAAGACTAGAATTTTAAGATGAGAAGTATCAAATACTAAGTAGTAGCAGATCGTCATCATCTGTCTGGTAGTGTTACTAATAATAAATTTGACTTCTATATATTCAGGACAGCCTGTTAACTTTGGAAGGCATAATGCTATCCTTTGTATTTCAGGACATTGCCATCATCAACGAGGATAATCTACCAATGTTTAATCGTTGTGGTGTCATGGCATTGGTTGCAGCCTATCTAAACTTTCTGAGTCAGATGATTGCAGTTCCTGCCCTTTGTCAGCATGTCAGCAAGGTAACACATAATTAAATGTCATTTATGACACTACACACTCTACTTTAAAATGAGTAAATAACTTGTATCAAGTAATGGCTTATGGTCTTGTTCTCCCATATTTGTGTCCACTGACATTGCTCTTGGTCTTCAGTCTCTGATGGCATTACTTGCTGACTCTTCAAATTATAAACAGAATAATCTTCTCTCAAAGTATAGCATTTTTACTTTGTTTATAGTACCATATATAATAGGCTAAATCCTCATCTGGTATAAGACTTTACAGCCTCACTGGCTTGGCTGAAAAAGTACTGACAGGTACAAGACCATGAGAACCAGATTTTTAGTCTAAAGGGTGAGTGCCAGACTCTCTTTCTCTGGTTAAAAGAAATTCTGAAGGCCTCATTTGTGCTGAGGTAGATGTGCTAGTGAGAGTTAGTTATTGGAGAAAACAGCTATGGAACTACTCCATTTGTACTGTTTGTCTTGTCTTTTTTTCAGGTCATTGAAACCAGAAGTGTGGAAGCATCTTATTTCCTCCCAGAAACAATTTTCAAAGACAAATGCAAGTAAGGAGGGACAAAATGTCAATTAGTGGACAGTGAAGTACCTCTTTTACTATTAAAATTCAGACATCACTGAAATATGTTACATATGTGAAAAATAATTTAGGGGTTTAGTAGTGTACAGGGTAGGCAGAAGAAACCCAAATATTGAAAGCATGAGCATATATAGGGGAAAAAAAGGTGAGTTTCAGACTTTTTTTATTGTAGTCAGAGGCACTAACACCCTTACAATATGATGCTTGGTGTATGTGCTAACACAGCCAAATCCGTTTTCACCGAATCACAGAATGGATGAGGCTGGAAGGCATCTCTGGAGGTCATCTGGTCCCTGCTTAAGCAGGGCCACATCCAGATGGCTTTGGAATATCTCCAAGGATGGAGACTCCACAACCCCTCTGGATAACCTGTATCAATGCTTGGTCACCCTCACAGTAAAGAACTGTTCCCTGATATTCAGCCAGAACCTTCTGTGTTTCAGTTTGCGCAGTTGCCTCTGGCTCTGTCACAGAGCAGCACTGACAAGCCTTTCCACCTTCTCTCCCTTACGGTAGTTGTACACATTGATAAGATCCATGTTCTTTTCTCCATGCTGAACTGTTCCAGCTCTCTCTCTCTGTCTTCATTGGAGAGATGCTCTAGTCCCTTAATCCACCTTAGTGGATTAGTTGGACTCCCTAAAGTAAAGCCTCACCTTCCCTGGCGAGTGCAGCACCCGACTCAATAGTCCAGTGTGGCCTTAACAGAGCTGAGTAGAGGGGTAGGATCTCCTGCCTCAACCTGCTGACAATGTTCCTCCTGTCAGCCAGGATACAGGATACAGCCCAGGATACCTCAGTCTCTTTTGCCACAAGGGCACGCTGCTGGCAAATGGCAAATATTACTGTTGCTATTAATTAATTACTATTAATATTACTATTGCTCTGCAGGTTTTTTTTTTTATTTAACAGAGACTATTTTCTCTCAAGATGTAGCAGAATAGATGAGAAACATATTTTGGATAGCCAGTAAGTGTTAAGGTAATTTAAAATAATGCAGAGGTGTTGAATAAACTAATTTTGGGTGTATATTCATTCCTAAAAAACTGAGCAAGCTTCATTTCCATCAAATCATTACCATTGGTTGCTCACAGACATTGGAGGAATATTTTCTGTAACCAACAAATACCTATTTGTAGACAATAATTTCAAATATATATTTTGACAGTCTTCCAAAATCCTTAGAGAAGCATGAAAAAGACTTATTTTTCCTGACGAACCAGATTGCAGAATCATTAGGAGGCAGTGGATACAGTGTGGAAAGATTGTCAGTTCCGTATGTACCCCAGGTAACAGGTAAGTGCTGATTAGTAGCAACACCACAAAGTACCAGTTATTAAGAATGCTTTCTTAATGTGTTGTGTGCCAGTGAAATGTAATGTGACTGCTTGGCAACAAAACCTAATCAGATCATTTTGTCTTCTTAGGATGGAGTGGTTTTTTCTCATTAGCTACTCTGCAAAACTGTAAAAAGTTTCAACTATTTGTCTTTTTAAGGTTTTTTTTTTTCCTTAATGAAAGGAAGAGGGGCAGAAAGGCCTCGAACCCACTTTGACTCTTTTTAATGAAGTCTTTGCTTTCAAAAGACTACCTGTGTTAATTTGAGAATATACAAGCCAGCATACTTTATTCTTTTTATGTAAACACTGAATGAAAAATATTCCATGCTTTTGCCATATGGTCTTGTGCTGAGTTATTTGCCTTAGATAAATTCTAAATGAACAGATGCTAATTTAGTCAAGAATGGGATGTTTTTTTCATTAGATACTTATGCAAGCTTAGTGTCAGGTAACAGTAGAAATGCCTGAGGAAGGTTTGTGGGAGTTCCAGCTATGCAGGCTGTGTGGACAGTGTGTGGAGGACTAGCAAGTATGTGACATTATGTCCTTTTGGCTTTTAGTATATTTTCAACAGCCAATTGAGCAACTTACTCAAAAAATGGTTCGAAGAATTTTTTTTCTTAACAATGTGTGTTTTGTGGCTCTATGTAACCAGTTGCTATTGTAAACAGTCTGTGGGACACCGCAGCCTTAAAGCAGAAAAATGTGACTTCTCTGTTCTGTAGCTCACACATAGGAAGAATCATAGTACATAGGGACAGTGAATGCCAGATCTGTCGTTCTTGCAGTCTGATTCAGCGACATTGCTGCCTGCTCTTGAGTGTCTTTTTTGGATAGCTGCTATGGGAGGAATTGAGTTCTGCAAACAGCATGTGTGGATTTGTCCCAGATGCTACCAGGCACGCTAGTGATATGTTCTGACACAACTACAATGTCTGTGTTTTCTGTTGCTGGTTGTCTTCTAGAAAGGATAATGTTCCTATCCTTCACAGATTTCTTCTTCTGGCATCCAGAAAAACAATTAACGTTATATTTTAGTATTGGCAGAAGAGGTAGCCAGCAAGTAAGGAAACATTACTGACTTTGAGTAAATGAGAATGGAATGAGAAAGATAGGTTGGTTTGAAATTTATGTTAAGCCTCTTCTAGAAACCAAGGTGTATTTGTGCCCAAATGACCTTGTTAGGGTTTTCTTGGATACTTTGCTGAAAATGCATTTCTACACAGGAGGACATGAAAGTTCTGACAGCAAGATTAAGTGAGTTTACCTGCAAGTATGTGATTAACTGCCTCTGCACGTGATGAGAAATTGCCATATTTAATCCTAAATCTTAGTATATGTGAGTCAGATGGGTTTGGGGTTTTTTGTAATGTTTTTGTAAAGAGCAGCAACCAAAACTTGTTCCTTTTCTGTTGCCATAGCTAATAAATACATTAATCTCTAATGCTGTGGAATATTGAGCTTCCAAGGTTTTCTTTTAACTAAATCAGGAACAAATGGATATTTTGGAATTCCTAAGCTTTTAATTTTTTAATGCAATGAAATGTTTCATTTCTACTGTTAATATTATAATGCTAGAATGTAGTGTTTCAAAAGAAATCATTAATCTTAGTAAAAATTAATCCATTTTTCTATATTCCTGTGAAATCTAGGGTTGAACCCAAAAAGCCAGTAAATATTTCATCCTGATTATTTCTGATTTTTCCAAATATCAGTGACACAATGCTTAACAATGGCTTGTAGACATAATTTTGTCATCCTGTCTTTGTTTCATGTTTTGATATTTCTTGTCAGTTTGAAAAACATTCATATCTGCAGGTTTTTTTATCTGCCTTTTTCTCTTCCTTACTTGGGGGAGGGAGAAAAATGATAATTTAAATGCACTTTTAATAATTTTTTTTGTCAGTACATATATATTTTTTTAATTCAGCTCTATTTCCATCAGGCAAAAAACCTCATAAATGCAAACACAAGTCAAAAGGTAAAAATGAGTTGTAGGTCAGCCTGCTCTCCTGCTGCCTGTGGTGTCTCTATAGGATGTGCACTGTCAAAAAATGCTTTTAGAAGGCCTTTAGATCTTTAGGCCAGAAATTGTGTTGTACTTGGTGTACTTAGTGTTTCCATATGCTTCTTTTTGTTCATCTCCTTGATATACCTGTAGCACTGTTAGCTGCTGTCAGGTTTACCTTTATGTTTACTCTTGATTTGAAACTCTACAATGGTAGTAGCTTCCTATTTTCTTTTCCTGAGCAGGTAGTAGGGCTAGAGGTATCATTTTTGTGATGGTACTAATTACCTCTTTGAGTGACATTGCAAGAACTTGTAGAAAGTTGGAAGAAGCTCTCAATTGTTCAAAGAATGAAGAGTTATCTTACTCACTGGCTGTTCAGGATAAAGATCCTTTAGCAGAATATGTGTATGTGCATATATTCTGTCTGCATCCCAGTAGCTGTGTGCATCCCACCAGGACTGGACTTAGACACTGTCTTCCCACCAACTGTCTCCTGGTTCCCAATCTCCCCAGTCACTGGCACCTGAGCATGTGAGTCCTTCAAGTGCCACAACCCCAGTCCAGATGCTGGTGCAGATCCCCCTTGCACACTGTGATGCCCGTGTGCATGTCCATGGATCCCAGTCAACCCCCCAGGCTCCATGGTCTTCCTGACAGCTGACCTGGGCCTCCTGGTCTCTCCAGGGGCCTGCCCCTCAGGAACACACAGAGCCAGACACACGCGGTCACCGCTCGCTCCCAGACCACTTGCCCTATTTGCCTGCTGGTCCAGCTTGATGTTCCCTCATGATCGCGTGGGAATCATCGTGCTGTGCATCTTTGCTTGCTCCAGACCCACCAGGCCCCTGACCTGTGGTCTGACTCCAGTTACTGTGCTCAGACCCCCATGCACATAACTGCACAAAGAATAGAGTTCCTCACCCAGGAAAAGACGGACTTTAAAGATCATCTAGTTCCAAAATCCCCTGCCGTGGGCAGGGACACCTTCCGCTATACCAGGTTGCTCAAAGCCCCATCCAACCTGGCCTTGAACACTTCCAGAGACGGGACAGCCCCAGTTCCTTTGGGCAGCCTGTTCCAGTGCCTCACCGCCGTCACAGTAAAGAATTTATTCCAAATATCCAATCTAAATCTACCCTCTTTTAGTTCAAAGGTGTTCCCCCTTGTCCTATTCCTACATGCCCTTGTGAAAAGTGATCAGCCAGTGAGGTGGATGCAGAGAGCAGCTCCTGTTGCCCCATGGTGTGGGTGCCACTCCCCAGGCCATAGAGCCAAGGCTTCTGGGACAGGCCTGTCAGGGGCTGGGGCAGTGGGTGTTGGGGCTTTCCTCGTGCCTCTGGGCTCCTTTGTGTGTATGGAAATGAGCTTTGTATCATATAACAGAAAAAATGGAAACTTTCCCCATTTTTTAGCCACTTAATATGTTGAAATTAGAGACAAATGGGTATTTTTCTCAGTCAAGTACAGTGAAGCATCCATTGCAAAAATGATTTCTATCCAAAGTAGCTCTGAAAATGTATCTTGTGTTTGTGTGTCAGTTACAGAGAGAGCAGCAAGATGGCAGCAGAGATGTAGTTTTGTCTTGTGTTTTCTTTTGAGGGCTGAGGTGCTTTCCTCAGACTCTGTATATATTGGGTCATGTACCAGCGAGCCATCAGGGATTAAAAATTAAGTAAATCCTTCAGAATGCCACTTCAAATGCTCAGGGTCTCTGGGAACCTGGCAAATATAGCTAGAATTCAGGTGTTTTCCACTAATCTTGTTCTTTCACTGCCTCTTGATCTTAAAATGACATTTCATTTATGCAATTTCTGAAAGTTATTTCTTGGTTTTTAAAAGCTGAGGATGTTCAGCTCTGCTGGAATGAATTCTGTTTGTTCATGCTCAATATTTGCACAGCAAAAGCACTTTGCTAGAAGTGGCTTAAACAAAGTTTATAGAAGAACCAGCATAAATTACCTTGTGGTGGGGGAATTTTAAATCCTTCTCTCAATCTTAGTTTCAAGTGCCTGTAGGTGCTTCTAACTGTGGGCAGTGCAAGTAATCAAATAACAGTAGCCAGGTCCAAATGGCTTGATCTTGGCTAAAATTTAAAATGTGACATCGCAATTCATGGTTTTGTAAATGAGATACACAAAAGTCAGACCTCTCGAGTCTCTCTTTGTTGAAGGATTCTCATGACATGTCTTAAAATACATTTTTACTGTTTATTAAAATCTCATGTTAATACACTAAATGTTAAAAATGAGAAAAGATTATTGCTGCACTGCCTCAGGAATGGAGTCACAGAAGGAAAATCCATTAACTGATGGATGGTTCGATCATAATCTGCTTATGCATTAATGAAATTGTTGTGCTGCTTTTAGTATCAGCACAGTTGGTCTTATTCTGACAACTTTTTAGGCCAGCTGGACCTGCTAAAATCTTTGTAGGAAGTGTGAAATGGAGAGAATTTTTTTCACCCAGTAGATTTTTAGACTTGCTGAATATGGTGCTTGTAGCAACAAGAATAAGGAAGGATTGTTGTTCATTTCCATTCAGAAATCTATTTCTTCTGTTAATGAGTCATTTCCAAGAAGCCCTTTTCTGTTTCAGAATTAAGACCTTAATATTTAAATTTCACAACCAAGAAAATAAGTTCAGGCTTTTGTAAAGAACTCTGCAGCTATATATCATCATGTGCTATGTTTCTTATTATGCATTTGAATAAGAGCTCATCTCATTTTTTAAATTTCTGGGCTTTCAAGGGAAGGTTGGCAAGATCTGGGATGGGAAAGAGACAATAAAAACATTATTTTCTTTCATATTTAGTAATTTAGAGCCGTAACTGATCATTTTTTCACAACTATTCAAATGATAAAATAGATGATCATGGGTAAAATAGGCATATGGAAACAAATTTGCATCTCATGGGTAGAAATTTGATTGATCATGTTTCAAGTGTTACACAAAAAGTGAGAGAAGTTGTTTTTCTGCTAGATGAAGACAGACTCTCCAGGAGAAAAAGCATTGTGGACACAGTGTCTCTTCAGGTGGATATTCTGCCTGGCAACAACACAGAGGATAAGGTATGAAAATCCCAGAATATTTTAAAGCAGCATCTTGGAGGGAGGGGGATAATGCAAGTGAAGTTTTTCCAGAAAGTCTAATATCTGATTATTCTAGCATTGTAAATACTTCAAGGGGTTGATTTTTTTTAAGTTGTCTTTGCAGAAGTGTGTTGTCAAAGACACTGGTGCTGGTCTTGCTGTATAAAAATGTTAAGTGTTTTATCACTGTAGTTTTTTACAGATAGTGCTGCAGAATATGGGGTAGCAATACGTTTACACACTGAACAACTGATGTTTTATGAGTAAATATTCTGAAATGTTTTATCTGCCTTTTGAGGCAACCAGTAAATTCCTTTCATCATTTGAAGTATTTGAGAAACTTGTTCATCAACATGGGGCTGAGAGATGTAAAACAAGAGAGATGCAAGATTAGTGGTTGACCTGCCCTCTGTGAGAGGGACAGGTGAAGACTAGTCAGGCTTTGTGCACCGCAGTGTTACAGTATCACTGTTCCCTTCCAGCAGAGTTTAGCACACAGCACTTTAAACTCACAGAAAGGATAAAGTAGCAACAGAAAGTTCATATGTAGGGTACAGGAGCTGATGCTAATTATCCCTTAGGAAGACTGCCTTATAATTAAAATTATCACACGTCTTTTGACACTTCATTTGAAGTATTTCTTAAAATAAATTTCTACTGAATCTTTTTTAAGGTTCTACTTATTTTTATTAACCAGATTTCTGCTGGTTGCAGTGGAGATTAGCTGTTGAAATTGAGGTGTTTGTACCTCAGATGAAGTACAGATGATTCTTACCTTTGGCATGTTCAAGCACAAACTGCCTAAAGACATGAGACAGAATATGTGGACTTAGTCAAGCTGAGTGCTATTGCAAAGGAGCAAGCTTCATTTTAGACAGAAGTGATCTATGTTTTGCATGATCATTATTATTATTTATTTCTGTTTTGTGCTGATGGTACCTCAGATGATATTTTGTGTTCACTTTTGTGCTTTAGCAAGGATACAAATAAAAGTTCAGGAGAAAGAAGAAAAAAAGTATTTGAAAAATAAGGGAGACAATCAGATCTCTAGCTTTCTGAAGAAAGTGAATGGTCCTCGCAGGACTGGGGGTGTTTGTCATTAGTATTCATTTTAAGATTGTGTATTATATGTGGTTATATATGATTGAACAACTGTCTTGAAAGTAGAATTAAATGAATGAAGTTTCCATTTCAGATTTCAAATTATTATGCTGATATTATATCAAGCATTGATATATAGACATTTTTGAAGTGGTTGTAGATAAATCAAAACCTTTTTATGGGTTCTCAGTTTAATGTGGTCTTAATGTGGTCCAGTGTCTTGGATAATGAATTACTGTTTTACCTCTTAAAAAGAAGAATTTTATTAATCAGAAACACAGGAAGCAAAGTATTTCTCCCTTACTTATGATGTTTGTTTACAAAGCAAAGGAAGAACCAGTATTTTCCAATTTGCTGACTGCATCTTCGTAGCTATATATGAAATCTGGTTCTCTTGCTTTGTAGATTAGTAAGTATAACAATCCATAACTGTCAGCAGAACTAAACTGCAGAAAAAAAGGAACATAAAGCTTATGATTGAGAGGATTACCTACTTAATTAATGGAAATTTTAGAATTAATGATTAATTCATCAAATGTGAATTGTATAAAAGGTGATTATTTCAGAATACCCTTGATCTCTAGCCATATCCACAAATATTTGACACAAAGGGTGTTTCACTGTTTATTAATTATTCTTTTATATATTCAGAGGTAGAGAATACAATGCTAATGTAGTAAAATGATAGAAAAGTATCATTTACAGCTCCATCTCCTGAAATAAAACTTAAGTAAAAAGGAAACAGCTATTTCTGCTGGCTTTTCCCTCTACAATAGCTCAAGCCAATAAATTAAAAAATTGAAAGAATTCAGAGTGTTCTGAATTGGATGAAGTAACTTCTTGCTACTTTACAAATCTCTTATCTTAAATCACATTAGACCATTCTAAACAATTAGTGTTTATAAGGAAAAATAACAGTGCTGCCTATTTACCTGTTTGAAGGATTGAAGTGAGGCGGTTCAAGCCAAGGAACCATGTTATATTCAGGTGAACACTGTTCTGCCATCTAAGCATTCTCCCCTAATATCATCACAGTGGTTTCACTGTAAATGTATTTACCGGTATAGAAACTCTACAGAAACTCCAGGTCTGTAATGAATTGAAACACAAAGATCCATGAACTGGAGCTCTTCAGAGAAATATTCATACATCTTTGGTAATTTTGCAGCCCCAAGCAGTTCCTAATGAAGTACATCTGCAGCAAATGGATATTCATATCACTAGATGAACAGATTTTCTCAGTGCATCAGACATAGCTTGTTATGAAGAGCCCTTTAACTCCCATGTTTATGACATAAGCACCAAATTATTTGGAACCCGTACTGGTACAAAGTTAGACTAAAGCAATAACCATTTTCCACTCTCCACTCTACTGCCATCTCTTATTTTAGCATCACATTGCTGGTAACTCAACAAGTCTCAGGAACCAGTTGCCTTTATTCACATCAGTTGTTTAAGAACCCAGTACTAAGACTTTATAGTATAGAAACACTACAGCCTATTCCTGACCCAAAGGAGTGTTCTGCCAAAATTCAAGTCCTTTTCCAAAGTATAGTTGCTATAGAGCATCTTGACTAGAATTTGCAAAGTTTTCCTTCACCTCATTTGATAAAAATTTCCTCACTATTTGCAGTGGCTTTAAAAATGTGAATGAATTAGTGTTCTGTTGTCTGTCACAGAAACTCCAGATAAAGCTATTAGAGACTTGTAAGGCAGAAAAGCCCTGGCTTTTTCACATTCCTTATTTTTTTGAAACTTATATGTTATATGTGATGATTAAGGGTTTTGTTTCTTTGTGTTTAGATTGATAATACTGAAGAAATCACCTTTGAAGCTTTGAAGAAAGCCATTGGTAAGATTTATTACAGTTGTGTTTATGCAGAATAGTCCTCAATTACTATGGAATTGCTAGAGAAAAAGGAATGGCCAGAATAACATAATGAAAACATTACATTTGTTTCTCTTCAGCTAGTAAATTTGTTTAAAACTTCAGTTATTTATTTCTAAATTTCTGAAATGATACTTTGATAATGTTAGTGAATTCATTTTCTGAAGTTAATGGGACTGAATGAAAAGCATCTGGAAATGCCTGTCATCTGTTAAATTTGCCTTACAGGCCAAGCCATAAATAACATGAGATTTGCAAGCTATATTGGATGATTATTTATAAAGCAACTTAAATATTTTTTATGTATTAAGATTTTAAGGTCTTCAATGCATTCAGAAAACAGATTGTAAGGTGCACATTGTGGACTTCAAAAACACTCAGATTTTTTAAAAGAATATTTTTGTAACAAGTGACCCAGCTACAAGAACACAGAATTACTTGAATTCCTTATTTCATATTACTATAAGTAATTACTAATTAATGCTGTCTAGTCCACTAAAATCCTGTTCAAAATATGGATTAAACATTGGTGTTTTAAACAATAGACACTGATGTTTTAAACAATGATTTAGTCTATCAGTCTTCCAGATGTGCCTAATCCCCAAGGTACTTAAATTCATTAGATGCTGGAAAGTTCCAGCTGCTTGTAAGTTCACTCAGTCTGTGGAGGTTGAACTCACTTTTTCCAAATTCTAATAGAAAATTCTGGCCACCTGTCAGCATGGTACTGGGAGGCAGGATGCTTCCTTCTTCTGAGTCTGAACTAGCATGCACCCAAGTGCAGTCCTGAGTCCAGGCAATAAAGCAAAAGGGAGTCTAGATGTACTCATAATTAAAGCACATAGTAAGAAAGGGGCAAAACTGGGTCCTCAAACCAGCTCCCTGAAATTTTGTCTGCATTTCGCTAGAGGCAGTGCCAGATGACACCTTACTTGAGAATGGGTGCATCACTTGAAGCACAGTGCTTTTTCTGCAGTGCACATATGAACGTTTATATCACTTATACTTGATAGGCGAAGATTGCAGTTGTCTCTATTTTTTTATTATTCTTTTAAGATAACAATGGACTTGAAGAACAGGAAAAGGAAAAAAGGCGTCTTGTGATTGAAAAGTTCCAAAAAGCGCCATTTGAAGAAATCGCAGCCCAGTGTGAAACCAAAGTGAGTTTCTGGAAAATGTTATACAGCACTGAAGAAATTGATGTAGGCATTAATGGGGATGTGCTGGCTGCAGGTGATTTATGTTGTGTCACTGCTGCTGTAAAGAAGAAGTTCAGTTCTTTGTTTTGCCTCCACTGTTGTCAATGCTGGGAGATTCCAGTAACTTAAAGCATGCTTTTGGTTGTTCCGAGACCATTTGGAAAGAAATGGATATCTCATATATTCTTCACCCTAATGCTTTCCTTGCTGTGTTTGAAATCCACATTCACAGTCCATTCCTATTTCATTCTGGGATAACTGGAGCAGTATTTACCCCACTGTATATTTTGAACAACTAAATGTATTTCAGGTTTGCTAAACTCCTGTCTGCAACAGCAGAATTTGCTATATAATTCCTGGCACTCCAGGACAGGCTCACTCAATCTCAAATGCATCTTCAAGGGTCAGAATCCTTTCAGCAGTGAGGAAATGGGACAGGAGTTGCTGCCTAGATTTGCATGTGGCAATGCAGAACACACTCACTGAGTATGGCCTGGCACATTCATCGGAGCTCAGTTCAATCAATATATAGGAGTTAATAATTCAATTTTAATTTTTCTTCCCTAGGCAAACTTGCTTCATGACAGACTTGCACAGATACTGGAACTCACCATTCGGTAAGGCTTTATGCAGGAAGAGTGTCATGAGTGAAAAATGAGTTATAAAACAGCTATGGCTACTTTCAGTTGGTTATGTCATAGTGTTCATAAAGAAATGTCATAGGGAGAAAATAATGGGCTTAACTGTGTGCTGTGGTTAAACCCTGGTAGCTGTTTCAGCCTCACATAACCACTGGCTTACCCCTCCTCAATAGGATGAGAAAGAAAATTGGAAGGGTAAAAGTGGGAAAAACCATGGGTTGAGATAAGAACAGCTTAATAGGTAAAGCAAAATCCCACATACCAGCAAAGCAGAATAAGAAATTCATTCACTTCCCATGGGTGGGCAGGTGTTTAGCCATCTCCAGGAAATCAGGGCTTGTTGGGAAGACAAATGCCACACTCTGAATTGTCCTTCCTATCCTACTTCTTTCCTTAAAGCTCTTATTGGTTAGCATGACACCACATGGTCTGGGATATCCCATGGCTCAGTTGGGGTCATCTGTCCCATCTGTGTCTCCTCCTAACTCCTTGCCCACTTCCAGCCCTCACACTGGCACAGCAGCGTGAGCAGCAAAAGAGGCCTTGATTCTGTGTAAGCTCTGCTCATCAGTAACACAAACATCCCTGTGTTATCAACACTGTTCCCAGCACAAATCTAAAACACAGTCCCAGACCTGCTAATGTAAAAAAATTCTCAGTCCCAGCCAAAAACAGTACACTGAAAAAGAGTACTCTTCATCACTTTGATTTTCTTCCTATTTTGAATCTTTTTGATAGTGAAGACTCTCCAGAAACCATGTCACAGTGTCTCACAGTCTTACAGTATTTCTGTGTCTATCAGTAGTGTTGCAGAATGCTGTTGTTTTCCCATTGCTGCATCTGTTTGAGAATGTAATTAGATACTACCCAAAATAGTACATGGCATTATTACAGAGCTGTGAACATCCATTGTTCAGAATAAATAGTATTTATTAGCAATAAAATGCATTTGGGTAGTTTTGTAACATCAGTGAAATTGATGATATAGACGAGAATACAAAAATCCCTGGGGCATGGTAATTTCATTAGAATTTCAGGAGGAGGATAAAATACTGTTGGTGGGGGGTGGGGGGATAGTTTACTCTTGTTTCTCAGCAATTAGTATGTATTATAACAAAGCAATCCATATAATTATAAATTACATATATTGATTGTGCTTCTCACACAGTCCTCCGCCTAGCCCCTCAGGAACGATGACCATTACTGCTGGACATGCTCATTACCATTCTGTTCCAGTCTATGAGATGAAGTTTCCAGATCTTTGTGTGTATTAAGTGTCTTCTGAAGTCTGCTGGACATTATTTAGAATAGAGTACAATAGAAAGAACAAGATGAGTTTTCAAATTTTATTGTTTACTGTATCTAAACTAAGTAATATAATGATGGACATGAGCCAAATACAGATTACTTTAGCCAAATTCATGAAATTGTCTTGAATTGTTTTCTTCTGTAATATATTGTAAGTTAGGTTTTTCATAGATCATGTTGATTCATTTTCATATTTGAGTACATGTAAAAGTCAGATATAAAACTTGTCTTGCCATACAGGTGAATATTTCAGTTACTCTAGGAATTTGTGTTGCCGCAAATTCCTTTAATTGGAGATACTGTAACTGAAGAACCTGTTAAATCTTTTTTTTTTCCCCTTTTTTTTGGTTGGTTGGGTTTTTTTCTCATCTCCACCTCAATTCTATGTCTAACTAGAATGCTTTTGCCTTGCTTCATTTCATTAAATGTAACCAGTGGAGCGCTACCGTCGCTCCCTTTTGTTCATACTGTCATAGCTAGTCAACTTGTTTGGTTTGAAATATATGGAAAAAAACCAATACCTTACATGTGTTCAAGTACAATGAATGAATTAATGGACACCTGTTAAGTATTTTTTGGATGCATCACATAACATGCTTTTTAGATAAATATGCCCAGTATATGTCCTGTGTTTCTTGCTAAAAGTTTAATGCTTTGCATAAGAGAAGAGAAATCTCCTCTCGAAGCAAGAAATTGTGCAATATTTTTCGTGTCTTAAGGTGTATGGTTTACAGACTGTACTTTTGAAAACATAGTAGTATTTACTGTCTGCTTTAGTATAAATACACGAGAGAATTTAGTATAGCAGAAGATAAACTGAGGGCATTTTAAATAATAATTAATGAAATTATAAATATATTCTATGAGGCATTTCTCTGTAGTTTATTACAGCTTTTTAGTGATATTTTAGAAATTGAAAGAAAACTAAATGAAACCATTTAAAGATCAAGAATTTATTACATATATTTTCAAGCAAAAGCATTTTTAGAGATGCATCTCTGTGTTTTGTTTTTGTTTCATTTCTCAAAACTTTAAGGTAACTTTCATAGGTTTATGTATCTGAGCATACTATTAAATGTAAATAAAGTAAAAGTGATACAGGAAATCACTGACTTTTGATGATAATTGCCAAGACTGTCTTTATGACTCACTAAATTCTGCAGGCAAAAAGGAAAAACAGCATTCATTGATGCCATGCATATTAAGTTTGAAGTCCCTTAATCTCTCTGAATCTGACTGAAGCAGCACAAACATGAATGAATGCTCTCAAAAATCTGTAATAAATGTAGACATTTAATTTAGCCAGTGGTTTGCATGAACAGTGATCAGGCCGTGAACAAAGTGATCTAACTTCAGTTAACCCTGCTTTGAGCAGGAGCTTGGTTTAGATGACTTTCAGAAGTCCCAACCTAAATTAATCTTTGATTGCATAACTCTACCATCTGAAGGGTTATCAGCCCAGCTAATTTGCTGAGTGTTTGAAGCACTTGCAAACCCACTGTAAGAAGGATTTTAAGTTTTTTGAACTGTAGTTCAGTATTCAGCTGAACTACTTTTAAAAGCCTGATGTGACATAACATCAGACAAATATCAGCTACTTAAACCTATGAGATGACATGCTGAGACTTTCAGAAGGCATTCACAAAGCTCAAAAGGTAATTGAGACCTTCTTTTCAGTTTAACAGTGCAATCACAGCTGTTAGTGGATGACGAAACAGCCCCTTATCTACAGCATTCCGTTGCGATTTTTACTGCTGCAGCGTATCAGCCTGATCAGACCACAGTCTACACATAAATAGGACTCTAGCCTTTAGTTTTCATTTTTTTTTTTTTTTTTTAAGGTAAGACTAATAGCTTTTTGGCCTATATAAAGAGTGTAATTTTTTAAACAGTAAATCTAAGCTAGGGATACAATGTAAAACATTTCTCCACACTGTAATTTTTTAAGAATATCACTCAGCACTTTTGTACAAAAAGAAAATAAGGAGTCTAAGTAATAAAGAATGTACTTCTGTTTGCGCTTGTGCAGTATGAAGACTATGCTGTAAATACAGGATTGTTTCTCTGATTGAATTCTGTTGCATGAATGCTGCATGTTAAAATAACTAGATTCAGCATTTCATTTTCCGTTCTTTTTATGAAGTATTTTTCATTTATGCTAATGGCAGGTTTCCATGTTTCCAGTGTTCAAATGAGCTTTGTTTGGTAAATGCAGGTTTTGTGCAGGTTTTGTGCAGGGAACGAAGAGCTTGTAACACTCTGCGTGTTCACGTGATATTTAATTTCTTCCTTTCTGGAAATTCAGGGAGTCTGTAAGTTGGTAATTGGTTCACTTTGGCCTTTCTAGACATATGGGAGACGGGAGAGACTGTAAAATGTATTGTTTTGGTAGCTATTGTTATAGGTAGCTAATGAATGAAACCAAAAGAATTAAGAATGCTGTTTGTTGTACAGTATGAAGCTGCTATGTTTCACTTCTCTCTTTATGTTCTTCAGACAAGTTGCAGAGCTTTAAAAGCTCCTTATGCAAACTGGTCCTGTTTTTTCTGCAACATTTTGTGCACTGTCATAATGGTTATGAATTGGTACCCAGCTGTTTAAGTGTATTCCAGTGCTTTGGGTTCTCTTTCCCGTTATGTCATTTTGAAAAAAATATAGCTTTTGTAGTGGGTCACTTTAAGGTAAATTAAATCTGTGGTAATTTCAAAAGATAGAAATAGCCTGTTGTCCAAAATCACAGTAGGGCCAATTTGTCTGTTGTTCTGATGGTCATATATTCTGTACTGTATGTAATGAACCAGTTTCAATAAATGTAAGAACACACTGTGCAATCTATATTTAAGCAATAAAATAAACCAAAATTTCAGATTAATCTTTTCTAAGGTGTGTCAGTTTATATTTACTGCTCACAGTTAAGATGTCAATGACATAATTTTTAGCATTTAAAATAGAGCTCATTTTACACACCATTTTACTTGTTTTTGCAAATGTTACAGCACTTCAGCATTATTAAAATACTACATTTATTTACTATTAAACCATTGCTGTTACTAAGACCACTAGAATTTGAGAGTGCAGAGATACAAAAATAATTTTCTAATAGCAAATAAGCTTCAAGAAGATAAATAACCTGTGCTTTTCAGGCCTGCCTTGCTGGTTAAAAAACCTGTTGGGTTTATAGTGTCAATTCTGTCTCCCATAGCATACTCCTGGAAAAGCTGGCAGCCCACGGCTTGGACAGGGGTACTCTGTGCTGGGTCAGGAACTGGCTGGAGGGCCGGGCCCAGAGAGTGGTGGTGAACGGAGCTGCATCCAGTTGGCGGCCGGTCACCAGTGGTGTTCCCCAGGGATCAGTGTTGGGCCCAGTCCTTTTTAACATCTTTATCGATGATTTAGATGAGGGGATTGAGTCCATCATCAGCAAATTTGCTGATGACACCAAATTGGGAGGGAGTGTCGACCTGCCAGAAGGCAGGAGGGCTCTGCAGAGGGATCTGGATAGACTGGAGAGATGGGCTGACTCCAATGGAATGAAGTTCAACAAGGCCAAGTGCCGGGTCCTGCACTTTGGCCACAACAACCCCCTGCAGCGCTATAGGCTGGGCACAGAGTGGCTGGAGAGCAGCCAGGCGGAAAGGGACCTGGGGGTGCTGATCGACAGGAGGCTGAACATGAGCCAGCAGTGTGCCCAGGTGGCCAAGAAGGCCAATGGCATCCTGGCCTGCACCAAGAACAGTGTGGCCAGCAGGAGCAGGGAAGTGATCCTTCCCCTGTACTCTGCATTGGTGAGGCCACACCTGGAGTATTGTGTTCAGCTCTGGGCCCCTCAGTTCAGGAAGGATATTGAGGTGCTGGAGCGGGTCCAAAGAAGAGCAACGAGGCTGGTGAAGGGACTGGAGCACAAGTCCTATGAGGAGAGGCTGAGAGAGCTGGGGTTGTTCAGTCTGGAGAAGAGAAGGCTTAGAGGCGACCTCATCACTCTCTTCAACTACCTGAAGGGAGGTTATAGCCAGGTGGGGGTTGGTCTCTTCTCCCAGGCAACCAACAATAGGACAAGGGGACATGGGCTCAAGCTCTGCCAGGGGAGGTTTAGGTTAGATGTTAGGAAGAAATTCTTTACAGAGAGGGTTATCAGGCATTGGAATGGCCTACCCAGAGAGGTGGTGGATTCACCATCCCTGGAGGTTTTTAAAAAGAGATTGGACGTGGCCCTTAGTGCCATGATATAGTAATTGGAGTTGGATCAGGGGTTGGACTTGATGATCTTGGAGGTCTTTTCCAACCCAATCTATTCTATGATTCTATGATTCTATGAATTCTAGTCACTTGATACAATTGTGTGAGTTTTCTGCCCCTTGTTTTGGGGGTACGGTCATAAAATAAATCAGGCTGGAAGGAACCCAGAGTCCTCCCAAGTGACTGGTGACCCGGAGCTTACCTGCTGCTGTTCCTGCTTCTCCTCGAGCCCTGTCCCTACACAGAGCCTGGCAGACCTCGGTGATGGGAAGGCACAGCAGAGGTTGTTCAGTCTGTGCTGGGAGGTTTTCAAAACCCAACTGCATGCAGCCTTGAGGTACCAGGTGTGGCCTCTTAATTGACCCTGTTTTTAGCAGAAACTGTCACCTCTGAGGTCCCTTTGAGTGCCTCAGCTGTGTGTGTACTCTCCTAAACCACCCACCTCCTTCAGCAGGTGTCCCACGTTTTGGAACAGGCTGCCCAGGGAAGCAGTGGAAGAGGTGTCTCTAAACTGGAGAGACATGGATTTGACTGATGGCCCACTTCATTGGATAAGGAATTGGCTGGATGGTTGCATTCATGGCTCAGTGGAGACCAGTGACGAGTGGCATCCTCAGGTGTTGGTATTGGGACTGACACTTCTTAACTTCTTTGTCAGTGACATGGACAGTGAAATTTGAGTGCAGCCTCAACTAGGTTTCAGCCAGCTGTGCCCAAAATCTGTGAAAAATATGGTGTAAAGTGACTGTGAGAATGAGAGGAGAAAGAAGAAAGCTATGCTCAATGTCTTGATCTGCTTGACATTTTTCTATTATTTTAGCACTGATCTCTGAGAATCAATAAATACAGCTAATCATAGCTAGATTATTTAAGACTTCTCTTTATCCACACAATTCATGTGATAGTAATTATGGCACAACTTGGGTGTTAAATTCTACCTGAAGTAAGAGATACTGGAAAAAAAAGCCCAAAGGAATTAATGACAACATTGCCTGAATAATAGCATATTTATATTGTAATTTCTCTGTTACTTGATCGATTCAGATGATCCATCCCTATCTCTGCAATCAGAAAATTCAGCGTTGTTGAGTGAGTATGTGCATGTGTTATTTGTATAACCATGAAGTTAATACTGGTTTCTAATAATTAGCAGAAAGGAGTGAGTTTTTATTTTAAGGTGCAGTGTTCAGAGCAGCAGCACTGCTCTCATCAGAGAAATGAGCTGGTGTTATAATTGCTCAGCAGTGCACTTCATTCACTTGTTTAAAGGCCAGTTTTTCCCATTTCAGCTCATTATCTCACTTTTTCATTGCCGTCTTTATTTATAAATGCTGTGAAATATAAAATAATTTTTCATCCCTAAGATAAAAGGCTGATGAAAGTTCCAGTGTAATGCAGATCTCATCCTCAGCATAGGGCAAAAATGGGCATTTTGCAGTTGTAGCGTTTTGCTTCAGAACTGAGATGTCCTCTTTCTTTACAGCATAAGGGAGGACTTAATTAAAATCTTGTCTGCAAATAGAATTTCTCACATCACTTGGCTGTCCTCTCTGCCTTCCCTTAAAAAATGTCCTTTTATTCTGTTGTGTTTTTTCACTAGTGCTGGTGGTGTAGCCACTGGGATCCAGTGGGATTCACGTGACTAAACACCTTTGGGGGTTTATTTTGGGAATGTGTGTGGTGGTTTTTTTGCTTTTGTGTTTTGGTTTTTTGGGGATTTTTTGCACTGCACTAATCCTTTGCAGTTTGAATGTAGGAAAAATACTGAGAGGGGAATAGCACCAGCCAGAGGTTTATACCATATAAACTGCTCATCCAAGAACATTCACTGGAGTTTTCACCTGCAGTTCTCACACCATTCAGTTTGCACAGATCAAATGCTGGGGTTTAGGTAACTGCTGCATGATCTGGAAAAACACAGGTAGCATCTCTGTATCCAGCATGAGGATACAGTCATTGGTCTTTAAGGAAAACTTTGGTGACAAAGTTCAGCCCTGTAGAACGAGGTGATAGAGAAGAAATCCAGACCTTTCAGAGCATCTGAATCCCTGCGAAGTTTGTAGCAAAATTTTTGTTCTAAGAAATGTGAGTCATAGAATCATAGAATGGTTTGGGTTGGAAGGGACCTTTAAAGACTTGTCACAGCCTGATACTACCCCTCTCTCCCTTCAAGTTTGTTTTAAAGGTTGTCAGCCCTGATAGCTAATGAGCAAAAACCTTCCTTCCCCTACGAGAAAGGTGAATCCCATCTGACACCCGCAGGCCTGGTGCTGTTACCAGAAAACCCCAAAATTCTAGCAGTGACACCAGCCATGGAGACAGATATTAATAGACTGGGTCTGTCTGTTTCTGGAAGGATAGGGCTAAAAATTACCTGTGCTTCACATTCCGTGACCAACCATTCCAAGGTGCTGAAGTCTCTTGATCACCCTTGGGCCCCAGGGAGGCAAGACACTTCCCTAAGAGAAGGGTCTGTCCAGCATTTTGGACCTTCTCTTCCCCTCAGAAGTGAGTCACACACAGCTATAGATAGGAATGGAAAAAGGAGCTCATCTTCATGTAATTACTTTAGCTTTCCTTCTGGGTGTTTCCTGCTAAGCTCAGTAAAGGAAGAATGTCTGCAAAAGGAGTTGCAGTAGTTGCAGATTGGTTTAATTAAAAACCTGAAATACTTAGCCACCATCAACGAGATTCAATCTGAGCCAAGCACACAGTTAACAAAAATCAGTTTGTGATCAGAGCAGGTTTTACATAAAAATCAAGTGAAATTATACAGAACACTGTCAAATAATTATTTAATGTTGTATCTGACCTAGATAGATGGTCTGTAGTGCTGACCTCCCTACAGTAATGAGTTAATACAGCCTAACTCTAATACCTAGTCTATGATTACATCATCTGTGTGCTGTGTAAGGCAGCCTGTAGAGGGTAAGGAGGAGTAAGGTACACGGTGGCTGACTGCAAAAGGCTCCATGCTGCTTTCCAAGCCCATGAAGGTGGCTGGTTATCTGCCTCCACGTCCCACAGTTCTGGAGTTCCCAACAGAACGGCGCGTCCCTCTCTTTGCTCTTCTTAATTGTCTCCACAGTGGACCCTCCTCTTCACTGCTCTCCTCAGAGCTGGAAACACCTGTGCCTGTTTCTGTGCCTATTGGGGGCCTTTCATAAGGGTCACTTTGACAGGAGGCTTTCTCCTCCCGGCACTCCTGCCCATGTGGAAGCTTCAGGCTCTCGTTGAAGAAGGCAGAGGCCATGCACTCGGCCGCCACTGTGTCGCAAGCACAGAGGAGTTTCTCACATATGCTCCAACCAATGCCTTAAAAAGAAGAGTTTAAGAATTAATGTTTGAAAGCAGTTAAAATTAGCCAATGTGTGATAAAATTTTCAAATCTGCCTCAAATTTTAGTCTCCAAATTCACCTTTAGCCATCTAAATACAAACCTGACACCAAGGTGCTCGGCAGCAGAAGGTCCAACTGGCTTTAGTTGAATTTGTGAATGTAAAGACACAAAGAGCTGACTCCTGTCTGCAATTACAAAATGTCTGAATGTAATTTGCTCAACCTGATCTGGTCACATCATGCACAGTGGTGTAATAATCTTTGTCTCAACTAGGAAAAAAGCTCTAGTTTAAAGTAAATGTTGCAAACTTTTTCTAAACTAAATAATTAGTCTGTCTCCATACTCAACCCTAGCAGCTCTCATTCATGGTGGCTCTCAGTCTGTCATGCCGATAGACTGTCAGGACATGAGAATTTCCTCTAACACATACTTACATTTTGGCATATGATCAATACATAATACTTCAGATCTGGAACTTCTTTCTGCATGACATCCAAGTTTCTTAACTTGTTCCATACAACAGTGATGAGAGAAGCAGCATCTAAAATAAATAGTAGATGTAAATGGAAAATACTTACACTTCCTGCATCCCAGAGTGCTCACAATTATTTGTAGGTCTTTATTTTCAATGCCTATTAAAACTAAGAAATTTTAGAAATTATAGAAATTTTCATACCATGGATTTTTTTTTCTATAAAGAAGAAAACTTGAACTATTCCTTCTTACCTTCTATACTTACTCCTACTTTTTTTTCCTCCTTCCTAATTCCTTTGGTGTCACATGTTTAACAATGCTGTTCTTTTTTAGGGGGGGTTGTTTTAATTTTAAGGCACATAATTACAATTGTGACCATGACCTAATCTGCCATGAGAAGTGTCTTCCAGTATTCAAATCTTGGCTGAAAATATGAAAACTACATCACTATAGCCAGATCACTAGCCTTCATCTAGCCTAATTTTTCATGCATGGGCAGTCTTACTTGTGTGCAAGTGTAGAAAAAAGGTGTGTACTGTATACCAGGTGCTATAATTAGACCTGATATGCCCCAACTATCATGAACTTCCACAGAGGGACAGATTTTTATTTGTAAATACAATACTCTCAGAGGAGATTTCTTTACTTTGGTTGAATTCTCTGTATTATTCCTCATTGACAGCCGTGCCATAACAGCACACGGTCAGGCATGGAAGGGCTTTGGCCTGCAGCTCCAGGAGGACTTCGGTCCAGCTCTTCTCTCTTCTGAAGGACAGTGCAGTGTGGGTGGATGTTAACTCTTCTCTTCATACATCACTTTCCAAACCACCTGTTAGCCAAGTTTCACTTGTCCTCATCCCTTTTAATATACCCTTCCCTCTGCTCTGCTTACCTGCCATCATTCTCCTTTCTTATTTTAATTGAGTTAGTAAGTCCTCTCCAAAACACTGTTGCAACAGTAGAATGGGTCTTTGTGACATCAGAGTATTTCATGTGTTACGTATTTAAGTGGGGTTTTTTTACCCAAAATGTGACCTGACTACTGATACATACCCAACAAAAGATGCACTGATCTTTTTTAGTCCTTGGGCGCCCCAATAATGCCCACAGTTAATGGCAAACACAGAAGAGCCCACACCTGTCCAGTGCATCGGTGGGATGACCTCTTCCCTCTTGGCCACAATAGCAACCATAAGACTCAAATTCCTCTGGGCATCGCTCAGTTAAGCAGAACAGCATTTCTCCAAGCTGGGGCAGCTCCCTCTTCGCTCTTCCACTTCCCCTCTCTTGCAGAAAGGTTAATCGCTCACACACTGTAAAGCAAAGTTGTTATTTGACACATCATGTTTTCACTGCTTGGGGGCTCCCTTGTCATGACAAAAGTGTTTTCAGAGCTGTCAGAAACTTTGAAAGACAACACTTTAAAATCTGTAAATTATTGCTCCAGTCCATGAATTATGGCTCTTAGAATTCTGCTGAGCAAGACAGCAGAAGGATAGGGAAATATTTAAAGGGGAGAGAGATTTCCTCTGAAAATATAATTACAAGTCAAATTGGATTGCAATGAGAATACTTTGCAGTCCTTTGTAATCCTTCATAGCTAAATTTTTCTTCTTTCAATGGCTTCTATCTCAGCTGATTCAGCAAATACCCCTTGTGCTTGCACAGTGATAGCTGGGCAATGACCATGTTGTGCTGGAGGAAACAATATCTTTTTTGGTTTCCTTTGAAATATAGTTCAATTCAATCTATAATCCCCCTAGTCCAGATGCAGGAATGATCTGTTGTAGTGGCTGCAGTAGTGCCAAGGTTTTGGCATCACCATGTCCCAATCCTAATGTCTCTGTGGCTCCCCCCACTCAAGAAGAACTGATATTGTGGGAATTATTCCTAAGAATTGAGAGAACACAGTGTTCCTTGTCAGAAAAATGATGTCAAGGGTGCCTCTTCTGAGACTTTGCCAGGGAAAGGACTTGAAGGGATTGATTGGCTGGATTGGGGGAGAGAGATGGAGGGCTTCTGTTCCCTCTGCATCCTCCTCTCTCCCATGAGTAATCCCATTTTCCCTTCTGGAGCTCTAGACTGACTCCCTGCTTCTTCCAGGGACAACCCTTGCTTACTGCCTCCAGAAGGAAATTCTGCCTATATACCTACTTGAGTCTTCACTCTCTCGTGTTAATTCACTGATAATGAACCACAAGGTTCATGCATTGACATGTGCTCTGTAACAGCTGATATTTTACAATCAAATTTTCCACGTTGGTGGAAGGTTGGTTTGATTCTTCATGTTTGCTCTTTTCCAGTTCTGGGGCTGCTTCTCTCCATTGGGAAACCAAATAAGATGGATGGTAGAGTCCATGGGTGTGAATTTAGAGCAGTGTCAGGTCTGAAATGTCTTGAGATTTCTGAGATCTCTTAGCAGGAATGGGAATAGAATCAGAAATGCTGAGAAGAAGTCTGACTCTGGCAAGACTTGCAAAAGGTCAGAATGAGGATCAAGGAAGTTCCTAATATTGCTTCTGCTGTAAAATAAGGTAACTTAAAAATGTGATTAAATTACTGCCTACAAGCAGTAGGAACTGCCTAAAAGCAAGTGGAAACATTCACTGAGCTCATTTTAGATTTTGCACTGTATGAAAAATGTTCTTATAACCTAATAATAAGTAGGTTCTTTAAGTGTTAGTGATAACACATTGGCAGAAGAGGTTAAACTGATGGAAGGTTTTGCAGATGTCTGCATCTCCTTTCTTATAAATACCAATACATCTGTGCTTATCTAACTGGTTTAGAGTAACTATAATCTCTATATGTAATATATACCTACTTTTAATATAGAGGTAGATGAATGTTTTATTAGCTATAATGGGGAAATAACCCCTTATTTACCTTTTCCTCCAGATTCATTGGGTCCCCTGTCAGACAGTCCCAGTTCCAGAGCTATTGCAGAGGAAGCTATGCTTGGGCCACCCCTTGCAGGACTTGTCTCTGGAGAAGACAAATGCATAGATTAGATGTGTGAAGGTAGAATAAATTCTTCTTTCAGTGATGTGTCCAAAAGTGCACATTCTGAAGCATAATCAACTGGCAGTCTTCTAAAACTTTTAAATTCATAGTGGGAGGCTGTTCATTAAATGTTAGTTAAGCCTTCCTTGTCAGTTAAGCTTTCCTTGTCCAGTCAGACTACCCTTTCCAGGGTCAGTCAGTGTTGTGCACCCTGCATTCTATGTAACCTATCCAGATTTAGGGAGAAAATAATGTTATTCTACATATCCATGAAAAATGCTGACTCCTCAGATAGCTGTGAACAGGAATAGGGGAGTGCTATAAATCAGGTGCTATAAATTAATTTTTTACTTGCCTTTTTCTTTTGTCCTTGCAGATGTGCTTGCGGAAATCTTCTCGGTGGGGACAATTTTGACTTGCATTGAGTTAATATCTCCTGGGAATGAGGCTGGGGAGGTGGTTATCGCTTCCACTGGGGCCACAGCTCCCATAAATCCATCTTCTTCTGAGCAAGCAGTAACAGGAAAGCAGAGGAAAACATGGAAAATAAACAGCAAGATTTTAATTTTAGATATCTGGTCAGAGTAATATCCTCAGGCAGAACCAGTGGGAATTGATGGTCATAGAGAAAAAACATTCAACAGGAAAATTGGAAAAGCAGTGTATCCACACTGGTCATTTCTTCACATCTCTTGCCTTTCAGAAGGAGGGACTGTTGTTAACGATGATCAGTTTAACTGCTGATTTTTTATTTTAATTTTATTTATGTGTACTGAGAAAAAGAGCTGTGCCAGTTGCTGAAAACCATGTTGGTTGCTTCTTAGTCAGCTGTACTGAGAGATAAAGCCCAGGTGAGATGTCATGAGATGTCATTTTCTGAGTAAATTGCTTTAAAAAAAGTGTCTGTTCACCTGAATGTTCCAAAATGCGGAGCAACATTAGTGAAAGTGGGAAATTATTTGACTGATGCAGAGCTGGGTGACTGAGGGGTTTACTGGGTTGTAAACACAGGGAAATACCAAGGGCAAAATAATTTGACATATAAATACATTATTTTTCAGGAGATTAGTTTAAAAATTAAATTGGTATATGTTTATTGTTGAGCAGGAGTGTTTTGTTAAATTTGTGGATACTTAACATCCTTTTTTTCTTTCTTTTTAAACCTTTTTTATATAAGCTAGCCTGTAAAAGAAAGCACTGTTATCAAATGGTTTCATTTTTTCTAAATGTCAGTATGAAGCATGTGGCATTTCACAAACTAAATACTTTGAAAATACCACTGAGCTTGAGTTTCAATATTTTAAGAGCTTTTCTTTTGAATTCTTTGGCTGAAATTTTTAATTGGACTAAACCCAAATTCATTAAACTTGTCTCTCTGATGTTCTGGTTTTAGTATGTTTTGAAAATAACCTGTCATAGGATAAGAGAACAGATAAAAAGAAATGAAAGTACTGCTAAGAACACAACAAAGCCCATGAAAGGTGGTAGAAAGGGATCAATAGTCACACACTAGTTTTGATGGCTCAGCAAGATGCACAGTTTATACCACTGTGACAGTGATGTGTTGAAATGAAAGCGATTCTTGATAGATTTAGAAAATAAAACCAGAGTTTGGGAAGTTCTGCACAAAGAATAAATATTACAAATAATCTCCTGGGAGCTGTGCAGGCCTGGAACACAATACACAGATTTTCTGATACATTCAAATTAAGGGGGAGAACATTTAGTGATTTTCACCAGTGTTTGTACAGCAATGCCAAATTTCTGCACTGAGGTGGGAGACAGGATACTGTTCAGTGTAATCAGACTCAAAAAATTATTACTTTCTACTCTCCATATGCAGTGTACTTTAACATTTTTCTGGTGCATTTCATTCTGCCTGGATAATCCTTTCTACACAGAGAGGGCCACAGAAAATTTCCAAGTCTACCAAGGTGCTCCATTTTTAGCTGTACCTACTGGTATGGCTGTGCTTGAAGCACAGACACCTGTGAAAGTTGAAACAGGTTTTAGACTGGTAAAGAAATTGATGAAATTATCTATAATAAAGGAGGAGGCAAAATCAAAGTGAACCCTTCTGGCAGCAGATGCTATGAATGTAATTTACAGCACCAACCATTACATCTGAAAACCTTGTGTGAATAGGTTTTCAGAAATACTTGGGTGAGGAGTGCAAATGAGTGGCTGGAGGCACGAAACAGCTAATGCTTCTCAGTCTGGTTTTATTGTTTGTGTATCTGCTATCTGACCCTGATCTAAATTTGATTCTCTGGCAGCCCTGTTGTCACCATGCACAGGGTTTTAACTGTGATGCTTTTAGAGAAAGAATTGCTGTGTCAGTCAAAGAAAGAGGAAAGCTGAGGGTCACTGACCTTTCATCGACAGGATGGGAGGAGCAGGAGCTGTTCCTCTGTGGTCCTTCATGGTTACTGTACAAAAAAGAGGCATCATGGTAGTGACCTACCTACTGCATTTCTGCTGTGCATTTCTGGAGTGACTATTCCTGAATGCATTATAAAGCTTAAACAAACATCACTATTAGTGTGGTTTTATAAAGAGGGTAATTAGGAGAAAGGAAGTGGTTTGCTGAAGGATGTGCGAGTCAGCAGAAGCAGTAGAGGTATTATCCATAAGTCCTGTGCTGCAGATTTTTAACTGTGACACCACAGAGCTTCATAAATGAAAATCCAACTTCACCTTGAGTCAAGACCACCAAATTTTTAATAGAAGTTTAATCAGATTCTTACCTCTGGCTTTGGGAGTCACCAAGATCATTTCACTGGGCTCAAAAGAAATCACTGTTGAAGATAGAAAATGTAAACTCAGAAAACAAGTTGCCAGCACAGACTCTTATGAATAGTTGCTAAGAGATTACTCTGAAAACAGTAAGACCCAGGCATGTCATGGAGAGAGATTTGCCTGGTTTTTTCAGTGGTGTATTGATTGTTGTAGACAAAGTGATATTGATAAAATAATCTCATTGCTGCATGCAAATAATGTACTTTGCACTAACATAGGATTATATGTTTCTATGAAAGAAGCAGCATAAATATGACTGAAGTGGGAAATTCAAAATGAAGTCCATTTGACACACAAATAGACTAAACAAGATTAGGTCTGAAATCCCACTGTTATGCAGAGAAGGATGCCACATTCCCTGTGAACACCTTGTGTTTGCCTGCACAGATATAGGCAGGCAGCTATAAGGCCAAATAACTCCCTAACCTCTAATTTATTTCTTTACCTGATAAAATGAATATAATTTGTCAGTTACCTTTTGACAAATTAGAAGCATGGCTATCAAATGATCCAAAAAATCATCTCTGCCTCTTTTTGTGTGTTGTTAGGGCTTTGGGATGTCAAGAAGAATACCTTTGCCTTTGAATGAGTTTCTGAGTGATACTTAACTTGTGTTTAATGCATCTTCCAGAGTTGTCAAAGTAGAAGCTCCTTTGGGCTTGAATGAGGAGAATTAAATGGTAGGTGGTTCTCCAAATGTCTCCTTCAAAGTCTGACTAGGTATGTTATCTGTGATACAGTAGTATGTTCCTAGTACAGGTTTTTATCCCTTGGTAATATTTTGAGCTTTATGTTGGACTTATACCTCTTTAGAGAGCATGAGTAATTGTTTTTCAGGAAGTAAAAGATTGCTGCAGATGTGCAAATACAGGTGCTCTTGCTCCTTCAGGAGTTCTCAGTTTTCTATTACCAAACTTCCCAGAAGCAGCTAGAAAAACATGGACCAAAACTGGAGCTGTTGCTAGGTGAAAATGAGAAATATCTGGTAAAAAAACTACTTTGATAATACAGGAGAGATATGAAGGAACAGCCAGCACTTACACTCAGCCTTTTCAAGTACACACACTTATGCCTGTGCTGGTTTTTTTTAAAAAAATAGAAAAAAAACCCTTTAAAAGTCAGAAGTGTTGTTTCTTAAAAAAAAAAAGTAAGATTCTGTATGGTTTTCATTATTCCAAACTGACACTTAGGGCAGTGGCTCACAGAGAGGAGCACACTACACCTTGAAACCAGGTTCTGAAGTTCTAAAACAATGCAACTTTCCACCTCTCCCCAGGCAACAAAGTTTAGTGGAAGGTGTCCCTGCCCACAGTAGGGGCACTGGAACCATCTGATCTTCAAGGACCCTTCCAACCCAAACCATTCTGTGATTTTCTGAGTTAAGCAGTGGCTTGGTTGTACCCACCCAGTGCTCATATGCTTGGCAGATAGGGGGTCTCTGAACATGGCAGTGGGGCTTTGCTTGTGAGGGAGCCTCATAGCAAGAGTTCAGCAGCTAAACTGGGCAATGGCTGGTCTAAGACTGGTCTCCTTCTCTATTTCCTGCCTGCAGGACTTGGCCCTCATTTACCAGGTGTGCCCTCCCAGAGGTACCAAGGGCTTTGGGTGACTTCTGTCCCTGGCCTCTCGTGTTGCAGTGCTCACCATGCAGGCAGGAAGAGAGTAGTTTTCTCATACTGCAGCAATGAGTTTTTGCAAGCATCAACTCCTCAATAAGACAACCATTGATTGTAGCAGGAAAAAAAATGAAGACTGTCACAAGAACCACTTGGTCTCGTGGTTTAGGGACTCACCCAGGAGGCACCAGAGTGAGAAGATTTCAACCTGGATCTCTGCATTACAAGTAAATAAACCACCAAACTGCTGCCTCATTGCCACAAACCATGCTCAATCTTTCCTCGTGCTCCTGCTTGATCTTGTGGAATTAAACATCTCTTTAAAGACAAGAAATATGCAACTAGCTGTGGGTCCAGTGGCTGGCACCCACACAGCACGTCTCTGCCAAACAGCTCACCTGCTCCAGCCTGTGTTCCCAGGGGAAAAAAAGGCTGTTTTGTGAAAACAGATTTTGTTGTAGAGTGCTCATTCTCAGCTCCTGGGAAACTTACTGTAAACACTGGTTAAACACATTACATGCACAAATTGAAAAATTGCACCTTGCCATTCAGTCTTGAATTCAATCACCAAGACATTGTATCTGCTTCTACATCAGTCCTTTTAGAAGGGCAGAAAGAAAGTGAACAGCTTGTATTCTTTCAGCTTTTGGGAGCTGAAAACAGGGCTTCTTGCCCTCTAAGTTGCAAACCTTCTTCCACAGATGCAGTCACTGCCCGTGTTTCATCAGTCCCACGATGAAGGAGCTCTGCAAAAGGAAAAGCATTGTTAACTCCAGAGACTCATGGCTTAGGATGCTCCTTAGACTGGATCTTGGCATAACATGAACAGTCATCAAAAAAGAACTTATTTCTAAATATTATTATTATCCTTGTTGTGCAGTTATTTCATGATATAAATATAGAAAATATAAACCTAGTTATTTATAATTACAGTAGCAGTATTAAAATTCTGATTTAGTACTTATACCATGCTGATACTAAATTCTACTCTGCAACATTTAGTATAATAATAAAAAATAATCTCAAAGAGTTTCAACATTAAAAAAAGAGGAATTGGCTAGCAATCACCATTCTTTAAATTCCTGTTTCAGCAGCTTATTTTTCTGAGTATAAATTGGTCTCAATTTAATATGTTCCAGACAAAGAATTATAGAGATGACCTACCCTCTGTATGACGTGTTGTCAGCTCTCTCTTGCTGATTGTTTCTGAAAAAGAAAAAGGTCTCTCATAAAGTGTGAGAAGGGGATTTGTCACTGTTTGATCTGAATAGGTCAGGCATTCATTGAATATATTCCTATCAAAACAAAGGTTTAGTCGAACACATGCCCATTTCACTAAAATTTTTCTCTGTAATAAAGAATCTATCAAAATCCTTTTCCTGTAAATTTACCAAGTAGGATTTTTTCCCCCCAAAATCTGAACTGAACAGAACAGCTACACAGAAGGATAATAACATGACTGAACACTAAATAAAAATGTTTCATTCAAAGGCTTTCTTTTCGTATTGAGAAATATAATCGAGGACCTAAAATCAGTGGAGGTATCCAGTGACCTAAAAATGAATCCATCTTTATCAGCAGTGGTAAAACCAGCATGATTTTCCTGTTAGCACCTAACAATTCCCCTTTATTTGCAGTGTCTTGGAACTACCATACTGTATATTAGGGCCATCTGATCCCAGTAAAAGATTAATGTCTTAAAACAAAAAAAACAACAACAAACCCCCAAAAAACAACTTGGCTTCCATGCAAACTTGCCTGGGGCATTTCCTTCTCCCTTGACCTCTTCAGGAGGGGATGCACACATCCAGAGCATGATACAGAGGTGTATGCCTGATCTCAGCACTGAGGTCTGTGGCTATGAGCCAAAAGGATTAGAAAAGCTAATGTTGCTTTTTCCCATCTCCCTCAGTGTGGGAGTCCAAAGGTCCTCCCCCTGCCATGTTCCAATTGCAATCCACAGGAATGAAGTTTTTAATCCAGCCCTGCTCCCACAGGACAGGTATTTGGTCTCGCAAGGCTGTAATTTCAGCTACAGAGCTGGGATCAGTGTATGACAATGGACATAAACATCCCCTTCACCTTTAGCAGGGATTTTTCCTTCCAAAATGGAAACCAAGTAACTGACCAGAATAAGCCTGTTTTTCACTTTTCCAGTTAGTTTTTGCATGGTTCAAAGGAAGATTTAGGCTAGCAATATCTTTAGCATTCCTGCTAGTGACCTCATCACACATATCACTCATTCATTCCAGCTGCAAAAAGCCTCACAAGGCTGACAGGACCTTCCTGAAGAAAAAAATTTCTTCATATCTAACTGGAACTTCCCTGTTGCAGTTGTGTGTCTTGCCTCTTGTCCTGTCCCTGTGCACCTCCAGGAAGAGTCTGGCTCCATCTTCTCTACACACCTCACTAATTACTGAGGACAGCAAAAACATCTCCCCCGAGCCTCCTTCTCTTTCATCATGAGCTTCAGCCCCCTCCCCATCCCAATAACCTCTCCTGGACCTGCTCCAGGACAGCAATTAGTCTGCTGCCTTCTCCTCTCCTGATATTCACTTGAGTAGCAGTAAATGGGCAGGACACATGAAACTGAGAACAGGACAGACTGCCAGGTTTATGGCAGGAAAGCACCCAGCTACTGCTTCATTCTCCTTGGGTCAGATTCGATACTGGCAGACAAACTGGCAGGAGGAGGCAGTGGATCAGATCCTTATTATTACCTGTAACTGGAGATGGACAGAAGGAGACATCCAGCCCATTCAGGGAAGAGTTAATATGTGCATTCACAAGGCATTCAATGGCATCTTTGTCACAGGTGCAGAGGAACTGTTCACAGGGATCCCCAGACTCTGGAAATAAAACAAAAATCCAAACAAGGCACTATTGAAAAACATTTTCCATCTGCTTTTTCCTCCCTGTAAGGTTTGTGCCTGTATTCATTAGTGCAAACCAATTTATACTGAGCTTCTCCATGCCAAACACAGTCAAGTTTCATAGTCCAACACTGGTTTTGAAACACAAACCAATGAAGTCTGGCATGCCTGGCAAAGAGATTATTGCCTCTCTGGTTCATTTATAAAAATCAGACCTTGACGCCTCAGAAGAGAATTTTTTTTCAGGTCTCTACTCGGCATCTGCTGCATTTCTGTTGTGTGGAGACATCTCAAGCAGTGTTTAGTGGTCCTGAAAAGTCAGGGAAACCTCAAGGAGAGGCTGCCTGCTGCAGGAGCCCTGGCAAGCCCAGGTGGTTTCTGCTTAATTTGTCTATCACTTTTGGTAGATAGACCAGAATGCACTTCTGGTCACGGTGAGGCTCCGGTGTTAGCTTTTGTGACAGGTTAATCTCACCACAGGTCAGGTTTTCAGTAGAGCAGCTGACATCTGTAGAAATCTTTGATGGGTCCCATGTGCACTCCATCTCCAGTGCTTCCTCATAGCATTTGCGGTGCTGGAAGCAGCATCTTAAGAATGAAATAACAGAGAGTTCTCACAATTTAGTTTCAGTTCGAAGTAATGCTGCCATGTTGCTCTTGCACAACAATGCAAAAGGTGCTAAAGGAGAAAAGGGGGGTCCATGGTGTGATACCCAGACAAAAGAAAGGCTGAGTACTGCTTTTCTCTGAGTGAAAGTAGTTGGACAAAGATATCTGGATTCAGCACTGAGTTGTGGGAGCGGGTCTGCGTACTGTGTGTGACCACACATTTCTGTCCTGCTGTGGTACCTGAGCTTACAAGGAGTCTACAGGCAGCTTAAATAAGAAATCCACTATCAGTGCCCAAATACTTCCCCCCAGCACTGTCACCACATTGACAAATATTGTCCCATGGCTCGACTCTAGAGGTCTTGGATGCAGTCCTGTCCCAACCTTTCCCACTGCAAATTTGGAGAACTACTCTGAACCTGACAGTCATGGAGGTTTAATGGCTTTGCAATGCCTTTCAGATCCCTGTGTCTCATTGTGACTCCATAAATAGAGGTACTGTCATCCTCTATTTCTTTTACTTCTATGCAACAATTAGACAATTAGAATTAAAATGCACCATTTATCCATGGGAAAGGGCCACAAAATAATTTTCTCACACTGGAGTGAAGCACTTTTCTCCTACCACCACACAACACAGGCAGTCAGAAACCTTGTGTTTTCCTACACAGTTGCTGTCCTGCAAACCTCAAATGCCTGCATGGCCACTATAGCTGTGAATAGCAATAAAAATTCAAGTAAAACAACAAGGTCTTTATCAATCCTCTCCTCTCTTCACCTGTTTGTACAGATAAATCATCTGCTTTTATATAATAGCAGCATCTGTGTACACTGACATCAGCTGTAAATGAAACACCAGTAAAAGACTGAAGTCATCATTTAACCCACATAAAATTGTTGTACAGATTAAACAGAAGTTTGCTGTTAGATTTAGATTGAAATATCCTCATTTCAGAGAAAGAGACTCAGCATATGGCTCTGTTATTGAATTGCCATTGGCTGGACCATGCCAAATGTAAAGACAACATGAACTCCCACATCCAGCAGCTGCTGCCAGGAAGGGTGAACTTGTGATCACAAAGTAAGGAGTTGCATTTAGTTAAGCTCACGTGGGATTTTTGTTAAAGGCACAGTGAAACATGTTATTACACATCACCCACAGCCCTGAGGCACCAGGAGACAAAACAGTCCTGCGGTGATTAGAGCACAGAGCAAACACCTGTGCCTTGCCAGGCTCCCTTCTAGGCTACAAGTGCACTTTCTCACTTTCTATATTTAGAAAGCATTTAATATTTAATCGCTCACTATATTAATAAATCATGATTACAATATTTAATTTGTCCTTACAACCAGGGGAGTCCAAATAATGTAGCTAACAAACGAAATAGCATTCAGCAGAGAGGCCTTGGTGGCTTCTCTGCACCACAAATTCTACTGTGCCTTGTTTCAGAGGTGAGGCTGAAGTTTGTGAGCTCCATCAGGAAAAGGGTCTTAACGATCTAGCTGATGACATGTCTCAAAACACTCCTGTCTCTGCCTGAGGTCTAGTGATGTGTTAGTATTTGAAAGCTCCTCTAGCTGCATAATTAGTCTAATACAAGCTCCATGCAGTTCTTGTTTGTTTAGAGCATCACAATTACATCAACACTTACTGCACCAATTAATCCGAAAATTTACTTACTTTGCCTTTGTAAGTAGGAGATTGTAAGGCGTGGATTGTCCCCTGGGCATGCTTCTTTTTCACGTGGACTATGGAGGTAAACTGGGCTCCTAATTTAGATATGACAATTAACTACTCTGGGAAATAGGAAAGGGTTGGTTTTATAGGCACTAAGGCACTTTCTAATGCCTTAAAAACCTGCAGTGAGGTGTTCAGCCCTTTCCTGTGGAACAGAAATGACAGGGACAAAACCCAAGGATTGCTAAACTAGTTTTTAAGAAATAAGTTG